TTGAAACCACTTTAACCATATTGAAGTAGTAAAATTTGAATAACGTACATTTTATGATGAATATTAGTTAAAAAATGACTTATTATTTTCAGCAAAGCTATAATTGAGATAAGAGATTTAATAGTACCGGCCAGACCTTTGAATTATTAAATGGTCCCGAATTAATTAATCGACGGCATATCGGATGGGTTTGGATCATATTAGCGTAATTTTAAGTAAATTACAGTCTCTTTTTTTAACAGCTTTTATTAGAATAAAATATTAAGCTCAACGAAAAAAATTTGAAAATAAACTATAGATACAATTTGGATTTAGAAAAACATAATATAACAAAATTAAAATCATAGACCGGCGTTCAGAAGGAAGGGGAAATAGAGTATAAATAACAGAAATAGAAAGGTAGTTAAGGACAGTTTTGGGAGAAAGATAAACTAGAAAGGTTATCATGGGAAGTTAGGAAGTTGAAAAAACGGTTCTGTTGCAAGACAGAGCAGGGCAATCGAGATGATAGTGAGAGAAGTCGCCGGTGACTTCCACGTCATGCAAAATACAAAGAGAAGATGAAAAATTACTGTCTTTAAAGCGCTTTTATCAGTACCTATTTATATTTTTACCTTATAAAATATAGTACCAGCGGCGTTATGAATTCCCAGCGTTTTTTTTTTTAAATAGATTTTATCGTCTACCCATTGTTTTTGTTTTAGTTTAAACTGAGTTTTGTTTTAGATTTCTCAATGAGTTTTAGTGACTGTAATAACTGATAACGCTATTGCTTTAAAATCTTCCGTTTTTTTTTCTTCCAGTCCTAATTATTTGTGTCACAATTGTTACTATTTAAATCGTTTTCTTAAACACTATCGATATTTTTGAACTTATGGTATTTGCACTGTATTGAGATCGAGATCGAGCAAAACTTGTAGATATCTGAAATTTTGTAATTAGATTAATGATGGATAATTAAACGGCACACATATACAGCAAAATATTACAGTTATAATAACATAAATATTTGCATTGATTTCAATGATATATTATCTAGAAAATTCATTATGATAATATTTATAGTGAAAACAAAAAATGTACTACCAAACCCTGTTTAGCAACAAATAATAATATATTTAATTAACAACTACTCTTGGAAAAAATGCGTGTGTACCAACTATTTAAAAAAAATGGTAGTCAATACTTGTTTTTATGAAAAACATGTAAACTAAAATATAAATAATCATACAAAAGCTATAATTTAATTTATAATCATTAAAGTATAGTATTCAATTTTTATCTATGTTGCTGCAATTGGTTTTGAGGTGCCTATAAAATTCCTACGTGTGGTCATGAATAAAATTTTACTATTTTTTTTTTTATATTCATTGCCCTTTAAAAATATTCAATGGATTTATCGTTTTGTTACTTTTCTAAATAATCGTATTTACTTTCTAAATGGAAATGTATTGAAAACTCGTTTGAAGTTGTGTTATTTATTGAAATAAGAATAACATATCTTTTGTGTTTATTTTATTTATTTTCATGTTTATTGTACGGCTTGTTCATACAGTTACCCGTTAGTCAAAAACACCCATGCACTAAATAAGAAATATATCCAAAACAAAAACAACATTGACCTAGTTACATTATTTTAAGTGTCTAAAATAAAAAATAAAAAAAAAACATTTATAATTTCTATTTAATAGATTTATAGCTGTTCTTCCATCTAATTTTCTAAAAATGCTAATAACTCTTGATGCCGATCAGTCTTTTTTTTCTGGGTATTCTTAAAACTCCTAATAAATATTTAAAAAATATACCTATAATATTTTATTTTATTTTTCTAAGTACAACTATTTTTTCTATTAATTATAGAACAATATTAACGAGTGGAACGATATTTTTCAAACAGGTACAGAAATCTCTAAACAGGGGTCAAATTAAGATGTCCAGTTGACAATATGTTAGGTTTTATTTTACACTCTGAATTTTCGTTGCATGAAATTCACTAGTATACCTTAAAGTATGTAAACAACACACAACTGGTAAGGTAGGGTGTTTAGGTAATATTTTTGTGGCTTCTTATTTACCTTGAATTCGTGTCGATATGAAATAAAGTATTATGTGTAATAATGGTAGTTCAAAAAATACATAATAATGTGGCCAGATTTTGCTTACTATTAAATGCATCACTATAAAAAATGCCTTGATGTATTGTGTGTGTAAATGTACACAATTATTGTTCATTGTTTTTATCGTATCGAACAACAAATGAGTAACAACCCACAGAAAATCACTTCTCTAAACCAATACACAACCACAAAAACAATTTTACAAACCTAGCATTTAGTACACAATAATGTGTTGGAAAATAATTAGAAATCAACACGCTTTTCAATTTACAACAAATTGTAGCTCATTACAAACAGCTTGTGAAGAAAAAACAAAGTAGAAATTTAAAAAGAATACAAATTGTTGCTAAGTTTGTCTTTAGTCATGCAGATCTTTAATACTAATAAACGGATATTGTTATTTAAAGTCTTGTTAGAATCACCTTAGCATGAAAAACTTACAATTGTAGTGAAGAATTTTAGAACTTTATCAGATATAATCCATTCACAACACATCCTTGAAATGTGTAACATTAATAAATAAGTAAATAAAAAGTTGAAATGTCTACAAAAAAATAATTTTTTTATACATATAGATATATCTATATAAACAGGGTGATCCAGCTAACGTAAGACACTCATTTTATGAATATTTTTCAAATTTTTTTTTCCTAACCTTTTAGGTACATATTTTACTACCTTTTTCAATGTTTAGAAAATGTTTATCTTCAACCCTACGTTAAAGAAGTACCACGGGATAGTCGAGCTACCAGTAACCATATAGGTCCAAACTAAGCACAGTATAAATCAGCATAGTAAGAAAGAATTAAAGTGAGGTGCAGTATGTAAAAATTAGCATCAAAGAATTTATTTGAATGTGATTTTATCCGAGAGGACTTGTACAATAGGGTCGAGGCATAATGGAATCAAAGCATAGAGGGGACGGAGAGGTCAATGGTCTTCAGGAATTGTTATTAGTAAGTTTAAAACATTTTTCTGGATTTTTGTGTAGAAGACTTCAAAAATGGTCAAATTATATGTTTTTGGGGTCGGCGATTGCGAATTTAATATAAATTTTCAGTTTTACTTAGTCAAAAAAAAAACTGAACTAAAATGAAAAATAATTGAATTATATTACTAAAATACTAACGGCTCTCTTCCATGACCGTGCTCGCTATTTTCCATGAATTTTGCTGTTATCGCTCTCATTACTAAATCGACTATGCTATCGCTGTTGAATAAACGCGGCCGACGCACGGCGACGTATTATGTTACCTACTACTATTACTGTTAATACTGCCGCCGACGGCGAGGAATAATGTTATCACTGTTTTAATACGACCGACTTATAATGTTACCACTGTTAACACGGCCAACGGCGTACTGTCAGTAATATTGATCGTGTCAGTACTATTGATCGTGTTAGTAATATTGATCGTCTAGAGTTACGGACGTTTGTAAAACATAAACGTTCGGGAAACAGTTTAAGAAGCACGGGAATGCTTATCGATTGTATCTGGGTTAATGGTGCTGTTGGTAGAGCGTATGGTTACTTCATAGCTGTCCCGGGTTCCAATCCTTCCAACACCTATATTTTTTTTTCTTCATTTTCATTTCATTTTATTTGATTTTATTGACTTAATATAAACCCGCGAGCTTCTCTTAAACTGTAGCCTGCAAACCTAGGATATTTTTAGTTTAGTGGATTTATACATTGTAAGCAAGGACGTCGTATAATTTTAATTTTTAACCGACTAACCTCTAGACATTCAAATTTATTAATTTAAACCATTTTTCACTTTAATCGTTAAGCAGCACCGGACACTAGCTTTATAACCGACTAATTTCTAGACATTCAGATTGAATTTAAACCATTTTTCACTTTAATCGTTAAGCAGCATCGGACACTCGCTTTATTAGCAGATCCATTTCTTTTTCAAAAAATATATCTGCTCCATTCGCCATGAGCGTGTTCGGCGTAGCCGGACACAGTACTCAGAATCTGTGACCTATCCGGTCGCCTGCCAGCTACCGTCCCTGCCAGCTACTAGTTAACACCTAAAACAGGTAGGTGAGTTTAAAGGTTAATAAAGTCATTCTATATAAAAGTTCATAAAAATGTTGTGAAATTGATTTGATAAAACTGTTTTAAGATTTAAGGTGTTTATGTTAAAATATACAATATCTGCGAAAAATAGTTTCCAGCAATAAAAGAAAAACTGTAAGCCCGAATTTTTTCTTCGTTTAATAAATTATGGATACATAAAAATTTTAAATTCTCACTAATTTTCAATTTAAAAGTCCTAAAATTACTGCTAAAAACCCAAAAAAACCAAATCTTGCGTCCTTAGGGGGATGGGAAATAGGTATAATATACATTTTAGACTATTGAAGTGTGAGGTCATACAAATTTAATATTCCTTATAATTTCAACTCGATCCTTTTTCTCGAAATTATAGCCAGTAAAAGTTCAAACTTTAAACTCGTATGAATTTTTTTTTTGTTTTTTCAAATTTTAACTATGAAGAAGTAAACTTTTTCAACTTTTATCCTCTAAAGGAACAATAAGATGAAATTTTTTATATATAGAGTTGCTACTCGAAGGAATTGGTCCAGTATTAAAATAGTTATCCGCAACGAAGCTAAAATTAAAATCGAGATTTAAGACATTATCTTGTCTTGTTATTTATTAGACGAAAGCAAGCGTTTTGAATTTAAGCACGTACTGTTTAGGGTAATTAGAAAATATTCTTAAAAAAACTCACTGTTAAACACTAAAAAAATCGAGTAAAGTAGGAGCGCTTGCCTTAATACGTTCAGCTGGCAGAGGCGAAAAACAAATAATGTTAGATGTACATTGCAATTTATTATGTATTTGACAGTTATTGAATTTTCCGTCTGTGGTGAAGTTTTTGTTCGCTAAACACTAAAAGAGGTACACTGAAATCGGCAAGTTCAAACGTGAAATCCATTCTATTGAAATTACTTAAACTTTTGCATACGTGTAAAAAACAAAAAGTTCTAAAGATGAAATCTATTATTTTCCTAATATCGTTTTCTAATTTTATTGTATCATTTGTTGATGGAGGTAACTCCTGTAAATGTTATCAAGGTAATACTTTAAAATGTTTTTAATACTTTTATCTTAATATGTACAATTTAAGCAGTACACTTTTTTTCGTTGCACCTCCATCGTGTAATTTTAAGCTGTATACTCGCAGTTAAATTTAAAATTGTTATGTATTAGCATAATATGCCCACGGCTAATCGTAATTAATTCAATTTGTTCAAACACAATAATAAAAAAATGATACTTCAGTTTTGAATAATTAATTTTAAAAAAACACAATAAACAGTCGGGTGATTTTTCCTCTGCCGAGACGATATTAATTATCGGTATATTATAAAGATGGTATATACAATGACATGATTACTAGTTTAACAAAATAGATATCGATTCGGGTTATTTTCAACATACACATAAATTGAATTGTTATGTATTAGGTTCAGGAGCTCTAAAACCATATTAGGTAAAATATTTTAATATGTATGTTTTATCGCTGGATGTCACACACTGGCGTCACACTCCGCAGTGGTGGAGAAAGGAAGGGGAAGTTAGAGATAATAGATTAAAATAAAAATAAAGATAAAATATTATCTCTAATCTACTAATTTGATGGTGAATCATCATCTAATTGAAGGTAAATCATTTAGTTCTAACTGTTTGGCCCAAAATAATTTCTTTGAGCAACGACTTCTGATCTAATCTATAAGCCTACAAAACATTATAAAAACAATACTTTCTCAGCTTTGCATCACACCTAATAACTTCTTTTTTAAATGAAACAAAACAACACACATAAATTATAAAATTTTGATCTTATTGTTATTACTTGTTGCTAAATAGTAAAGGTAGTTTCAATATTTTCAATATTAGTTATTATCTTACAATCCGATCAAAATTTTACAAATTAAAGAAAAAAAAGTTACGTATCAAGGCAGGCAAAATTATATATGTATAAAGATTATAAGCTTAGTCCTTTTCTTTAAGAACCACTAATTCATTTTGCTTAGCTCCGACAACAGTAGAAGGAAGTGAGGGCGTAGTTGATGAAGGAGATAATAATAGTAAGTATAATCAGTTACCTAATAAGTTTACCCAATTAATTGATTCCATCTTCCCATTAACTCTAAAGGGTTTATGGTTCAAATTATTTGCTAACCGTAGTCGATTTTTAAATTAAGTTAGGTTTAATAATAAAATAGGTAATTCAAATACGCCGGTGATCTCCCCCGCCTAAATTTGCTTTGTCTCCAATATGCCATATTTCCACTGGACTGTCATTTTAGTTTTATATACAATTTATTTGGTAACAATAAGTCATAGTGGAAATATTTGTCAGAGACAAGAAATATTGTACTTTCTAAAAAAATTATAAAAATTTCTATTCGCCGTTAAGTTGTTCTTATTAAACGAGTCTTAGTATTATGTAGTTGTATATAGATGCAATCTGAGTAAGCATTTTTTAAAACTCGGCTGTACATTGCAAACAGAAGTAATTGTTAATATCGGTTTTGTGTCACCTAAAATCAGTCCAAATATCAAAAACTTGATTTTGAAATCGTAAAAAAAAAAAAAAAATACATTAAGTTTACAATTCGAAAAAATTCGTTTTCGATTGTAAACCAGAAATAGGCTTCCTCTAATCTTTAGTATACTGTATGAGGTATAGAGGTACCTAAACATATATGTATTCTAATTAATCGACTTAATTATAGAATATGAATAATACGGTACAAAACAATCATATAACAAGAACGAACATTTTCCACATTTGTACATAGCAACCTAGAAATTCAGATATAAATGTGTATACTTATATATATATTCTAATTAGTAGACTTAAATATAGAATATAAATAATACTATACAACAATATCTCAGAACATGAACAAAAATATTCCACACATTTTAATGTTCCTAAGCCCATTCCAATCTAATTATTTTTATACCAACTTTTAGAATTTAAAAAGTAACGCATACATTTCATTAACTTTTTAAATTGAGAATTATGTATATTTGACTATGTAAATGTTGAATGGTCGATAACCAGAAAAAATAGTTATCCAATACTAGATAACTATTTTTTAAGTTATTAAAGTTTCAAATTTATGGCAGGCGAAAAGGTGGAGTGCAGTATTTTTTTTTATCTACATGCACTTCCCTATTTGTCATAACTTTTAAATTTGTATAACTTCAAAAATAGTTATTCAAAACTGCTTATCATCAGTCAATTTTTTTAGTAAAAATGTTCTTAATTTAAAATGTATCCTGCATTTAAATTCACCCTATCCTCCCCTAAATCGGGTTTTATAAGTTTATTATGATTTATTGTGTGTGTATTACAGGACTTGGTGGTGCTGAAATTGTTGAAACCGAAAGTAATAAGGAAATTTCCGATAGTCATAAATGAAATTTTTATTTATCTTATAACTTTTTAAATTGAGAATAATGTATATTTAACTATGTAAATGTTGAATGGTCGATAACCAGAAAAAATAGTTATCCAAAACTAGATAACTATTTTTGAAGTTATTAAAGTTTTAAATGTATGGCAGGAGAAAAGGTGGAGTGCAGTATTTTTTTTATCTACATGCACTTTCCCTTTTGTCATAACTTTTAAACTTTTATAACTTCAAAAATAGTTATTCAAAACTGGTTATCAAACAGTCAAATTTTTTAATAAAAATATTCTTAATTTAAAAATTAATAAAAAAATATACGTTACCGTTAATAATTTATATAATGTCTCTTCTAAAAATGTAACTTAAATAGTTTTTCTATTTTGTATTTTGAACAGCCTAACTTTACTTTTTTACACAATGCAATTTTAATAGTTTACAGAGACAAACTTTTTATTTTTATCTATCTTAATACTAACCACAAATTTGGCCAAATAAAATATCTTTCAAGGTCGATTTCTACCTTACTATCAAAAAAATGAAGTTTAGCGATCTAGGAAAAAGTAAACTTCTTATTAAGCCATATCATATATTGAGTGATTCGCGATAAAATTATCACCCTGTAAATATTTATCATTTGAAAAACAGCCTTGGAAAACCAACACCTATTAATCATTGGACTGAAGGCAACTAAGATAAATAAAAATTACTTTTATCTTTCTTATTATTAGCAGATAAAAGTTAAATTTTTCTGTTGTATAATAGCATTCTTTGTACCTCAAAATGTGCCGAACTATGATCAAGGTAATTTATTTATTTTCACAATTACCAACCCTAAGTAATTTGAGAAATAATCCAATCACTTTTTTTCACAGAGGATTATCGGAAGGAGGTTTCAATCGCCAGTCAGTTACATTTTTGTTTTATAACAAACATATTTTAAGTTCATAAAATTTACTGTTTTCATAAATTTTTTTAAAATGTTATATTACAGATGCATTCATCGAGCTTGCGTATAATAAGAATGATTTAATTGTAGGAGACAATTCTGGAATAAGTAAGATAATATAATAAAAATGTATACGTCAATATATAAGTAGTTTGTTATATGTACCTAATTGTCAAGTTCTTTGTAAATTATGATGTACAGTTTTTTTAAACAGTAAAAAAAAGTGCAGCAGTTTTGTAAAAAGAATTTACAGAAAACTGTAATATATTAAGTGGTGATTTCTAATAACCTAATCGTAGAAGTAGCGTCAAATGGCTACTGCTCAAAGCAGGGTTTATCATTCTAAAGATTTGTATTGTACTTAATTTGGTTTATTTCAATCTTATTAATCTACTATAGATATAATAGATAAACAATCTATTATTAATCTTACTGTATAGTCCAATTATTTTTTTCTAGATGGATTGGAGCATGTAATAGAAATAATGGTTGATGATATCATTCATTACGATGAATTCGGTAGTTTTAATTATAATATTAATAACAATACAAATAAAATTATAAAATAAAGATAAAAATACAAATTTTTTTTTTAAAAAAAACATAAAAATTGCAACTAAAATGTATCATTGTGCAACTGATAAGTGACATAAATATTAGATTTTTCTATGAAACCTAAATGGAATCTTTATGAAAAATACTAAAGTTATCTCATATCACCACAATTACTTCAATTCAGCTATTATATTTTTCTAAATATTACTTAGTCTATTCAATATGATTTTTCCTACATTGAACTTTGTCTTCTAATTTATAATTATATAATGTATTGATTTGTAATAGAAAAATAAAATTCAATATCATTAATTTATTTAATGTTAATTTCAGGCATAATGAATTTAATGATCGCTGTACCGGGTAAAAGCTTTTGTTGAATTTTATGCAAATACTTATAAATTTGATTCCCATCGTATTGAATATACAGTTAAGCACATTTCTTCCGAGTTTCTAATACACATGCTTTTTTCCTACTACAAGCTTCCTCGTTTTCCTGTTTATAATATAATAGAAAACTAAATGCAATATCATTAATTTATGTATTGTAAATTTCAGATAAAACGGATATTCTCACTCATATACGTAATAATTTGCATTGCCTATTATGGAACTGTTTCCAAGCAGCGGTTTAACATTCTTAATGCAAACAAGACTTTTTTTTTAGATTACAGTGGGCACGATGATAATAAAACGAGTAACCCCATTTTTATATTTCATATTCAGTATACTTTACGCAAAGTCATTATTTATAAATATTTTGAGGAAAATCATATGTATCTATTGAAATAAACCAATGAGAAATTTTTGTTTCAATCATAAACAATATGTAGGTACATAAAAATATATTTTGTTTTAAATTTCAGGGTTAAAGAATTATCAGAAAGATATGGGACTTAAAATATCAACTGTATTAGGTAAACAAAGAATTTATAAAAATTAACATTATACTAGTTTGTAGTAAAAAAAGTCGATTAAAATCTTAAGTCATAAAGTTATATGTTTTATACTTAAGTTTTTGAATATCATTCGAAATGTAATATATAAACTGTTTCTTCAAGTATTGCTTCTAAAAATACTACACAATAATATTTTGCTTTGATAATTAATTAATTAATCTCAATTTTAGAGTGACTGTAATATATAAAATGTATAACGGTGGACGGGGTACATTTAAATTCAATCATATCATTATTTCCCTTCATTTAATTTAAAGTTTGGGAGTTCGAACCTGTAGTTTAAAGTTGTATAATATACACATTCCCAACCTCACCAAACAAGTCATTTATAACCTATAAATGTTTAAATACATCTTTATATTTATTTGAAATCTACCCTTTTTATGGGCAGATTTGTATGTGTCTTATTGGTATATTTAAAAATGTACGAGTACAATACAATTTATTTTTATGTATAAAACAATTTTTCTGTACTTAAAGCAATTACAGAACTATAAATATTCTTCGGGGGTGAATATTCAAATTGAACCTGTTATCGCAAATTCAGAGCCAACACACTTTATAATTGTTAATATATATTATTACACCAGATAAAATAATTACAACAAATCAACGTTGGTAGATATATTGATAGAAAACCAAATTTTGAATTTCAATACATCGTTATGTACTTAAGATTAACGAAAGTAAAAAAAAAACACCATGAATGACATTATTATTTTTCCGCTGATAACACAAACCAATACTTCAAACAGCGTGACTGGTTTTATCGATATTTTCAGTACAGTTAAAATGTTTTTATCAACATTATTTCTACCCAGCATTAAAATCCACACTGCCTACCCCTATACTAAGGTTTATCAACTACATAATTGATTTTATGTATTTGTTACAGGACTTAGCGATACTGAAATTGAAGAAATCAGAAGTAATTACGATTTTTCTGATAGCCGTACATGACATTTTTATTTATCACATAATCAGTTTGAAATTAGAATTCTCTGATAACACTAACAATACTTCAAACTGCGTGATTACTTAAAATATTTTTTTCTCGTAAATTTCAGTACAGTGAAAACAGTTCTATCAGCATAATTCAAATGTACCCCGCATTCAAATTCATCCTATCCTCCCCTAAATCGGGTTTTATAAGTTTATAATGATTTGATGTGTGTGTGGTTACAGGACTTGGCGATTTTAAAATTGATGAAACCGAAAGTAACTACGAGATTTCCGATAGTTATAAATGACATTTTTATTTATCTTATAATCAGTCTGATATCAGAATCTGCTGATAACACAAACGATAATTCAAACTGCATGATTACTTGAAATATTTTTTTCTCGTAAATTTCAGTCCAGTGAAAATAATTTTATCAGCATCATTCAAATGTACCTCGCATTCAAATTCATCCTATCCTCTCCTGAATCGTGTTTTATAAGTTTCTAATGATTTGATGTGTGTGTGTTACAGGACTTGGCGATCTTGAAATTGATGAAACCGAAAGTAATAACGAATTTTGCCATAGTCGTAAAAAACACTTTTATTTATCGTATAAACAGAATCTGCTGATAACACTAACAATACTTCAAACTGCGTGATTACTTAAAATATTTTTTTCTCATAAATTTAAGTCCAGTGAAAATAGTTTTATCAGCATTGTTCAAATGCATCTTGCATTCAAATTCTCCCTATCCTCCCCTAAATCGGGTTTTATAAGTTTATAATGATTTAATGTGTGTTACAGGACTTGGTGGTTCTGAAATTGTTGAAACCGAAAGTAATTACGAGATTTCTGATAATTATAAATGACATTTTTATTTATTTTATAATCAGTCTAGAATCAGAATCTGCTGATAACACTAACAGTACTTCAAACAGCGTGATTACTTAAAATATATTTTTCTCGTTATTTCCAGCACAGTGAAAATAGTTTTATCAGCATTATTCAAATGTACTCCGCATTCAAATCCACCCTATCTTCCTCTAATATATTTCTTCAAATGTTGCTATTAGAAATTATTAAACATTTATACAATACTATTTTGCAATAATTAATTGCTATAGTTAATCTCAATTTTAGAGTGACTGCTATAAAAAATATATATAGTGGAAGATGGGGTAAATTTAAATTAAGTCATATCATTATTTTCCCTAATTTAATATTATGGAAAATTTCAAGTTTGGGAGATCCAATCCGTAGTTTTCAGTTTTGTACATATTATAATACTTTTCCTAACCTTACCAATCAAGTAATTTATACTTTTTAATTTATAAATATTTATTTTTATTCAAATCTACCTCTGTTATGGGATACATTTGAATTTAAAGGGGCGGATTTAAACGTGTCTTATTAATATATTTAAATATGTACAATACAATTATGTATTGTACAAATACTATTTTTCTGTAGTAAAAGTAAATATAGAACATAAATGTTCTACGGAGTAGAACATCTGAATCGACTCCATGATCGCAAATTCAAATCCACCGCACTTTATAATTGTTATTTAGTATTACATCGGATAAAATAATTACAATAAATAACCTAACCTAACCCACCGTATCTTTCCCTGAACCGGGTTTTATAAGTGATTTGATGTGTTTGTTACAGGACTTGGTGATACTGAAATTGATGAAACCGAAAGTAATAACGAATTTTCCTATAGTCGTAAATGGCGTTGCTTGTTTTAGATTAGAAATTTGCTTAATTTTGTTAACTAAATCTTTTGTGTCAAACAATAATTGTTTAATAATTATTTTATTAAATAATTATACATATACAGCCTGAAAATTTAATACGCCACGGATGTAGATATTTTCTTCTTAGGTCACACACTGAATATTTTCGCTCCTCGTTAACCTTTTTTTCTTTCTTGTACTTTTCCCCGTTAAAATCGCCCAAATAGAGTCATAGGGTACCGTTCTACGCATAGCTTCCTCCCCGGTGGGCATCTTTTATTGTTTTCACAATTATTTTACACAAAATTCATGTTTCCCTCTTAGCATGGGCAGGCGAGCGTTTTAACTATTTACAAATACTATTTTAATTATCTCCTTCTCTGTTTTTCCTCCAATGCCTTTGTTGCTTTGCGGTAAGCCGCACAGCCTCCTGTTGCCTCTTTGTCCAGGTCGCTGACGAATGGACTAGAATGTTAATGTGTAAATATACGTTCTTTGTGGTTTAAGAAATATAGAAAAAATAAATTCTTCGAGTTGAAAGAGTAATGCCTAGTTGTAAAACAAATTAGTTGTATCACTGCAATTATTTGTATTCTTTAAAATGTGGTACAATAGTTATTTAAGCAATAAAAATATTTTTTCTTTCTTATTACGGTCATTTAATAATTTTTTTTGTTGATTTTAAAAGACATAGAAACCATTGCACAGACGAGAAGAGACTGTACTGGACCAGCTATAAAAAATATAATCCGACGTGTTTTAGGTAAATATCAATATGGATTTGTAATGGTTATGAATTTATAATATATTTACATGAAGGACAACATTTATATTCTATTTTTTTTTTATGACATTATTTAAACAAATAAGATATTTGTGTGCTGCGCCATAAAATAAGTAGTAACTAATAAGCTAAATTTAGCAAATAAAAAATAAAAAATATTTTATTCATTTTTTAGATGAACACGCACAAGTTGTACCGGATGATCCCGCTGTAGAACGGATGTGTCGTTTGATGGGATTATTCAGGAGTACACAATTTCCATCATCGTTTACAACCATGGTTAAGATTGATTTCAGTAAACGTACTTGTATTTTATTACATGAACTAAATATGATAAAATACACATATAATGCTGGCACATGGGTGCAAGTAAAGCGAAACAATGTATTACAAGCACTTGTGGAGCAATTAGAATAATTTAGACCAGGAATCAATGCCTAATGTCTAAATCAGCTCTGTTTACACTAAATTATGTTCAATATTGTTAAAATATAATTATTTAAAAAACTGTAAAAATAAAATTTCCAATGGCTTTTGCTAACAAGGGTTTATAAAACATAATAATATATATGTAATTGTTTTTATTAAATATAATATAAAATAATTATATAAATTATAAAACTACAATCACATATAAATATATATATATGTGTATATTTGTTTATACTTTAATTATACACAACTGTTATCAGTATTATCATGTCTTTTTTTTATCATAATGTATATATTTTTAATACTAATTGTTCAGTTACATTTTTAGTGTAACTTTGCACAATTTTCATAATCCTAATTGTTCACCTGAATACGAATTAATAAATAAACTAGTCCAGTTTAAATCAAGTACGGTTCAATCCAGCGCAAAAGTAAGTACAGTACTGTACGTTGTTACTTAAGTACCAGTTAAAATAATTTAGAACAGGTATACTGCTCGAAACAGGAAAACCCAATCTCTATCATTTTTTGTTTAAACTTTTTGTTACGTTCATTTTTCTGGCAAGTTTCACATGCCTTAATAAATTCTTTTACTTCGTTTTTCACGTTTCTCCATGAGTATAATATCTGTAATCGTTTTATAGTATGCGATGTTCCCGAATGACATCCGGTAAGCGAGTTATGATATTCGGATATTAGATTATGTTTATCCTCAGCTAAGCATGAATAATCACTATGAACGTGAACAACTATGTCAGTTGGTTTAAAAATAAAAAAAAGCATTGAACGGATACATGTATGAAATGTGACAGTAGATAAGCCATCTACAGCGAGAGTGTGTATTTGCGTAAGTTAAATAATAATGCAAAAGTCTTGTAATTCCGTGAAAACGAGAAAAATAAATTTATCGTCCAATGGTTTAGTATAAATATCACGTAGACCTAGAAAAATAATAAACCTGTTGTTTTCGTTAATAAAAATAATATTGGAATCCCTCGGAAAAGACAGGTTTATAGAAATATTGTTTTTAGTAATAAAATTTCTGATGACTTGGTGTGTTAAATACATTGAAAAAGTTACAGTGTATACAGACAAAAAAAACCCACATCATTGTAAAACCAAAAGCATCGCTGCTCCGCAACGAAGCTCAAATTAAAATCGAGATTTAAGACATTATCTGGTCTTGTTATTTATTAGACGAGAGCAAGCGTTTTGAATTTAAGCACGTACTGTTTAGGGTAATTAGAAAATATTCTTAAAAAAACTCACTGTTGAACACTAAAAAAATCGAGTAAAGTAGGAGCGCTTGCCTTGATACGTTCAGCTGGCAGAGGCGAAAAACAAATAATGTTAGATGTACATTGCAATTTATTATGTATTTGACAGTTATTGAATTTTCCGTCTGCGGTGAAGTTTTTGTTCGCTAAACACTAAAAGAGGTACACTGAAATCGGCAAGTTCAAACGTGAAATCCATTCTATTGAAATTACTTAAACTTTTGCATACGTGTAAAAAACAAAAAGTTCTAAAGATGAAATCTATTATTTTCCTAATATCGTTTTCTAATTTTATTGTATCATTTGTTGATGGAGGTAACTCCTGTAAATGTTATCAAGGTAATACTTTAAAATGTTTTTAATACTTTTATCTTAATATGTACAATTTAGCAGTACACTTTTTTTCGTTGCACCTCCATCGTGTAATTTTAAGCTGTATACGCGCAGTTAAATTTAAAATTGTTATGTATTAGCATAATATGCCCACGGCTAATCGTAATTAATTCAATTTGTTCAAACATAATAATAAAAAAATGATACTTCAGTTTTGAATAATTAATTTAAAAAAACACAATAAACAGTCGGGTGATTTTTCCTCTGCCGAGACGATATTAATTATCGGTATATTATAAAGATGGTATATACAATGACATGATTACTAGTTTAACAAAATAGATATCGATTCGGGTTATTTTCAACATACACATAAATTGAATTGTTATGTATTAGGTTCAGGGGTTCTAAAACCATATTAGGTAAAATATTTTAATATGTATATGTTTTATCGCTGGATGTCACACTCTGGCGTCACGCTCCGCAGTGGTGGAGAAAGGAGGGGGAAGTTAGAGATAATAGATTAAATACAAAAATAGAGATAAAACATTATCTCTCATCTATCAATTTGATGGGAATAAGGTAAATCATTTAGTTCTAATTCTTTGGGACAAAATAATTTCTTTCAGCAAGACTTCTGATTTAATCTATAAAACCTACTGCATAATATATCTATTATGCGAAATATCGTGTGTGCAAATACAAATATAAATTACAAAACATTATAAAAGCAATACTTTCTCAACTTTGCATCAGACCTAATAATTTCTCTTTTTAAATGAAACAAAACAACACACATAAATTATAAAATTTTGATCTTATTGTTATTACTTGTTTCTAAATAGTAAAGGTAGTTTCAATATTATTAATTTTAGTTATTATCTTACAATCCATTCAAAATTAAACAATTTAAAGAAAAAAAAGTTACGTATCAAGGCAGGCAAAATTATATATGTATAAAGATTATAAGCTTAGTCCTTTTCTTTAAGAACCACTTAATCATTTTGTTTAGCTCCGACAACAGTAGAAGGAAGTGAGGGCGTAGTTGATGAAGGAGATAATAATAGTAAGTATAATCAGTTGATATTAAATACTAAAAAATCCTAAGTAAAATATTTTGTTTTAAAATTAATTAATCAAACTTATTCAATAATTGCGTCATTACTCTTCAAGATTTTTGGCCCTTATAAGAAAGTTTTTTGGGGGGAAAAACAATATTGATATTTTAAAAATATTTTTCACAACTTTTGATTTCTTAATTTAAAAAAAGAATACCCTATTTAGCAATTTATATTATTGTAATAACTATAACTTATTTTATCTAATACATTTGTTTTCCTTATAAGTTTACCCAATTAATTGATTCCATCTTCCCATTAACATTAGATGCTACCTGAGTAAGCATTTTTTAAAACTCGGCTGTACATTGCAAACAGAAGTAATTGTTAATATCAGTTTTGCGTCACCTAAAATCAGTCCAAATATCAAAAACCTTGATTTTGAAATCGTAAAAAAAAAAAAAATACACTGAGTTTACAATTCGAAAAAATTCGTTTTCGATTGTAAACCAGAAATAGGCTTCCTCTAATCTTTAGTATACTGTATGAGGTATATAGGTACCTACACATATATGTATTCTAATTAAACGACTTAATTATAGAATATGAATAATACCGTACAAAACAATCACAGAACAAGAACAAACATTTTCCATAAACTTTTTAAATTGAGAATAATGTTTATAATGATTTAACGTGTGTGTGTTACAGGACTTGGTGGTGCTGAAATTGATGAAACCGAAAGTAATTAAGAAATTTCCGATAGTCATAAATGAAATTTTTATTTATCTTATAACTTTTTAAATTGAGAATAATGTATATTTAACTATGTAAATGTTGAATGGTCGATAACCAGAAAAAATAGTTATCCAAAACTAGATAACTATTTTTGATGTTATTAAAGTTTCAAATTTATGACAGGAGAAAAGGTAGGAGTGCAGTATTTTTTTTATCTACATGCACTTCTCCTTTTGTCATAACTTTTAAACTTTTATAACTTCAAAAATATTTATTCAAAACTGGTTATCAAACAGTCAAATTTTTTAGTAAAAATATTCTTAATTTAAAAATTAATAAAAAAATATACGTTACCATTTAAATTTCAAAAGGTACTAGTAAAAACTAAAACAATTGCGAAAAATAGAGGTCACATTTAAAAAAAACAGTATGAGGAAAAAAATGTGATTTCTTATTAAATCCTTTATGATATTGAGTGGTTCATGATAAAATGATCACCCTGTATACAGTTGGGCAACAGGAAGATATAATTAAATACTTTCATTCGGATTGATTGACAGTATAATAAAAACATATTCAAATTCCTATTGACTGCCATCTTGTACATAACGACCTAGAAATTAAGATTTCTGTGAAAATTGTAAATGTTATATATACATATGCACACTATTTATACCTTTGGTCTAATAATCATACCTTAAACCCTAAAACTTTATCTTACAAAGTGAAATAAAGGAAAATGTTCCATCCCTTACCTAGGAAAGGGTTTATGAAAGGTTGTTGGTTTGCCAACATCTATCTGTAGTACTATAATTAAAAAATATGTTATATTATAGTTCTATAGTTAAAAAATATGTACTATTTTTAAGTGTTACTATACAACCATGAATAGTTTTGCATTAATGCCATGATGGGTTGATAAGAATTAATATGCGTTTGAAGCTTGAAAATGATTTATATAATGTCTCTTCTAAAAACGTAACTTAAATAACAATATTTACTTAAACCGTTTTTGTATTTTGAACAGTGAAAACTTCAATTTTTTACACAATGCAATTTAAATAGTTTACAGAGACAAACTTTTTATTTTTGTCTATCTTCATTAGTGTGAGCTAACCACAATTTTGGCCAAATAAAATACCTTTCAAAGTCGATTTCTACCTTGCTATCAAAAAAATGGAGTTTAGCGATCTAGGAAAAATTAAACTTTATATTAAATCTTAAGATATATTGAGTGGTTCGCGATAAAATGATCACCCTGTATTTATTTATCTTTTAAAAAACAGGCTTGGTAAACCAAAACCTTCTAATCATTGGACTGGAGGCCACTGAGATTAATATGAATTACTTTTATCTTTCTTATTATTAGCTGATAAAAGTTAAATTTTTCTGTTTTATAATAGCATTCGTACTTGAAAATGTGCTGAGCTATGATCAAGGTAATTCATTTATTTTCACAATTACCATCCCTAAGTAATTAAAAAAATAATCCAATCACTTTTTTTACAGATTATAGGAAGGAGGTTTTAGTTGCAAGTCAGTTACATTTTTGTTTTATAACAAACATATTTTAAGTTTATAAAAAGTCACTGTTCTCAAACATTTTTTTTTTTAAATTATGTATACAGATGCATTTATCGAGCTTGCGTACAATAAGAATGATTTAATTGTAGGAAACAATTCTGGAATAAGTAAGATAATATAATTAAAATGTATATGTCAATATAAAAGTGTTTTGTTATGTGTACTTAATTGTCAAGTTCTTTGTAAATTATAGTGTACAGGTTTTTCAAAGAGTAAAAACAAGTGCAGCAACTTTGTAGAACGAGTTTACAGAAAACTGTAATAACTTAAGTTTCTAATAACCTGATAATAGAAGTAGCGTTAAATAGCTACTGCTTAAAGCAGGGTTTAATATTATTCTAAAGATTCGTTTTGTACTTAATTTGGATTATTTCAATCTTATAGTGTAGTCCAATTATTTTTTTGTATATCTAGATGGATTGGAGCATGTAATTAAATTAATGGTTGAAGATTTCGTTCATTACGATGAATTCGGTAGCTATAATTATAATATTAATAATAATAATACAAATAGAAATACAAAATAAAGAAAAAAGTAAAAAAAATATTTAAAAACCATATAAAAATTGCACCTAAAATTTATCTTTGTGCAATTGATAAATGACATAAATATTAGACTTTTCTACGAAACCTAAATGGAATCTTTATGGAAAAATACTAAAGTTAGCTCTCATCGTCACAACTACTTCAATTCAGCTATTATATTTTCCTAAAGATTACTTAGTCTATTTAATATAGTTTTTTCTACTTTGAACTTTGTCTTCTAATTTATAATTACATAATGTATTAATTTGTGATAGAAAATAAAATTCATAATCATTAATTTATATAATGTTAATTTCAGTCATAATGAATTTAATGATCGCTGTACCGGGTAATAGGTTTTGTTGAATTTTATGAAAATATTTATATATTTCATTCCCATCGTATTGAATATACAGTGGAGCACATTTCTTCCGAGTTTCCAATACACATGCTTTTTGTCTACCACGAGCTTCCTCATTTTCCTGTTTATAACATAATAGAAAACTAAATGCAATATCATTAATGTATGTAATGTTAATTTCAGATAAAACGGATCTTCTCACTCTTATGCGTAATAATTTGCATTACATATTATGGAACTGTTTCCAAAAAGTGGTTTAATATTCTTAATGCAAACAAGACTTTTTTTTTTTAGATTACAGTGGACACGATGATAATAAAACGAGTAACCCTACATTTAAATTTCATATTTCGTATACTTTACGCAAAGTCATTATTTATAAATATTTTGAGGAAAATCATATGTATCTATTGAAATAAACCAATGAGAAATTTTGGTTTCAATCATAAACAATATGTAGGTACATAAAAATATATTTTGTTTTAAATTTCAGGGTTGAAGAATTACCAGAAAGATATGGGACTTAAAATATCAACTGTATTAGGTAAACAAAGAATTTATAAAAATTAACATTATACTAGTTTGTAGTAAAAAAAGTCGATTGAAAGCTTAAAGCCATAATGCTATAGATGTTTTATGCTTAAGTTTTTGAAGATCATTCGAAATGTAATATATATACTGTTTCTTCAAGTATTACTTCTAGAAATAATTAAACATTTACACAATAATATTTTGCATTGATAATTAATTAATTAATTATTATTTGCCTTCATTTAATTTAAAGTTTGGGAATTCCAACCTGTAGTTTAAAGGTTTATAATATAAACATTCCCAACCTCACCAAACAAGTCATTTTTAACCTATAAATGTTTAAATAAATCTTAATATTTATTTGAAATCTACCATTGTTATGGGCAGATTTGTATGTGTCTTATTAGTATATTTAAAAATGTACAATACAATTTATTTCTATGTATAAAACAATTTTTCGGTATTTAAAGCAATTACAGAACTATAAATATTCTTCGGGGTTGAATATTCAAATTGAACCTGTTATCGCAAACTCAGAGCCAACACACTTCATAATTGTTAATATATAGTATTACACCAGATAAAATAATTACAATAAATCAACGTGGATAGATACATAGATAGAAAACCAAATTTTGGATTTCAATACATCGTTATGTACTTAAGTTTAACGAAGTTGTGAGTAAACAAATTCATGCGAAATTAAAAAAAAAACACCATGAGTGACATTATTATTTTTCCGCTGATAACACAAACCAATACTTCAAACAGCGTGACTGTTTTTTATCGATAATTTCAGTACAATTAAAATGTTTTAATCAACATTATTTCTACCCAGCATTAAAATCCACACTGTCTACCCCTATACTAAGGTTTATCAACTACATAATTGATTTTATGTATTTGTTACAGGACTTAGCGATACTGAAATTGAAGAAATCAAAAGTAATTACGATTTTTCTGATAGTCGTACATGGCATTTTTATTTATCTCATAATCAGTTTGAAATCAGAATTCACTGATAACACTAACAATACTTCAAACTGCGTTATTACTTAAAATATTTTTTTCTCATAAATTTCAGCCCAGTGAAAACAGTTTTATCAGCATAATTCAAATGTACCCGCATTCAAATTCATCCTATCCTCCCCTGAATCGTGTTTTATAAGTTTATAATAATTTGATGTGTGTGTGTTACAGGACTTGGCGATTTTGAAATTGGTGAAACAGAAAGTAACTACTAGATTTCCGATAGTCATAAATGACATTTTTATTTATTACATAATCAGTTTGAAATAAGCATCCGCTGATAACACTAACAATACTTCAAACTGCGTTATTATTTAAAATATTTTTTTCTCATCAATTTTAGTCCAGTGAAAATAATTTTATCAGCATAATTCAAATGTACCTCGCATTCAAATTCATCCTATTCTCCCCTGAATCGTGTTTTATAAGTTTATAATGATTTGATGTGTGTGTGTTACAGGACTTGGCGATCTTGAAATTGATGAAACCGAAAGTAATTATGAGATTTCCGATAGTCATAAATGACATTTTTATTTATCTTATAATCAGTCTGAAATCAGAATCTGCTGATAACACTAACAATACTTCAAACTAAGTGATTACTTAAAATATTTTTTTCTCATAAATTTTAGTCCAGTGAAAATAGTTTTATCAGCATTGTTCAAATGTATCTTGCATTCAAATTCACCCTATCCTCCCCTAAATCGGGTTTTATAAGTTTATAATGATTTAATGTGTGTTACAGGACTTGGTGGTTCTGAAATTGTTGAAACCGAAAGTAATTACGGGATTTCTGATAATTATAAATGACATTTTTATTTATTTTATAATCAGTCTAGAATCAGAATTTGCTGATAACACTAACAGTACTTCAAACTGCGTGATTACTTGAAATATTTTTTTCTCGTAAATTTCAGTCCAGTGAAAATAATTTGATCAGCATATATCAAATGTACCCCTCATTCAAATTCATCCTATCTTCCCCTGAATCGTGTTTTATAAGTTTATAATGATTTGATGTGTGTGTGTTACAGGACTTGGCGATCTTGAAATTGAAGAAACCGAAAGTAATAACGAATTTTCCTATAGTCGTAAAAAACACTTTTATTTATCTTATAATCAGTCTGAAATCAGCATCCGCTGATAAAACTAACAATACTTCAAACTGCGTGATTACTTAGAATATTTTTTTCTCGTAAATTTCAGTCTAGTGAAAATAATTTTATCAGCATTATTCAAATGTACCCGCATTAAAATTCATCCTATCCTCCCCTAACTCGGGTTTTATAAGTTTATAATGATTTGATGTGTGTGTGTTACAGGACATGGTGATTCTGAATTTGATGAAACCGAAAGTAATTATGAGATTTCCTATAGTCGTAAAAGACACTTTTATTTTTATTTATCACATAATCAGTCTAAAATCAGAATCTGCTAATAACACAAACAGTACTTCAAACAGCGTGATTACTTAAAATATTTTTTTCTCGTTATTTCCAGCACAGTGAAAATAGTTTTATCAGCATTATTCAAATGTTCTCCGCATTAAAATCCACCCTATCTTTCTCTAATATAAACTCTTTCTTCAAATGTTGCTGTTAGACATTTTTAAACATTTATACAATACTATTTGGCAATAATTAATTGCTATAGTTAATCTTAATTTTAGAGTGACTGCTATAAAAAATATATATAGAGGAAGATAGGGTAAATTTAAATTAAGTCATATCATTATTTTCCCTTATTTAATATTATGGAAAATTTCAAGTTTGGGAGATCCAATCCGTAGTTTTCAGTTTTGTACATATTATAATACTTTTCTTAACCTTACCAATCAAGTAATTTATACTTTATAATTTATAAATATGTATTTTTATTCAAATCTTCCTCTGTTATTTGATACATCTGAATCTAAAGGGCACAGATTTGAATGTGTCTTATGAATATATTTAAAGATGTACAATACAATTTATTGTATAATAATCACTCATTCGCTCACTTATCATTAAAATTATAAGACACTTTCAGTATAGGTAAAAACGTGAAATTTTGCACAAAGGTGGGTCTTATAGTTTAAGTAAAGGGTAGAATCTGAAAATTGCAATTTTCTCAAAATTTATGTGCTAGGTGGGGATTAATGACCTTCGCCGCGCTGCAGCCGGTACAGAGCGCTGTTGATTCCCATGTCTCTAGTCAGCCATCATTTGGTCGTAGTTTGTGTCTTTGTTAATTCGTGTTCACATGTATGGCAGTGTAGCAGTGTTCTTTGTTCTTGTTACGTTTGTCACGTGGTTTATTATAAAGTGTAATTGGTCACCTAAACGTTTAGGTTTCGTTTATACGTTTCTAATACTAAACTAGATTTATAGTGGCTACTTGTATAAATTATAGCTTCACTAATTTATTTATTAAATTAAACTTTATTAATTATGACTAATTTAATTACTATCGTGGTTTATCAATAATTAATAAATTATTTATCATTATGCAAGTGGCTACTTGTATGAATTTTAGCTTTAATACAAAGTGTAGTTTTATATACATATATACATTATGTACATATCTACGTAGTTGATATAACAACACGTAAACACAAGAGAAAATCTACGACTTACAATATACATTCAATGCCACTTAAAAAAAAAACCTTGGTCACGATACTGAAGCCCGCAAAAAGGAATGATATCCCCAACAAAAACCTAACAGTAAACAAAGGCCAAGTTCCAGACCCCCTCCCAAAAATGTCAGCCTATCAAAGTAGTGATATCTACATTGTAGTCAAGTCTGCTATTTCTTTAGTGTTCATACCACACTTCACTCCTACTTTCATGAGCAACACTGCTCTTTTATTTATATTGCTTAACACATGGCCAGTTTCTGAATTAAGCATGAAACATTTTTATCAAATGTACTCACTTAGGAGTTATGTAGGGTGGTGGGAAGAAGAGAACTCAGAAAAAAAGAAAAAGGTTCAGATCCCCTCTCGAAAAAATCAACTAATCAAAGTAATGGTATCTACATTGCGGCCAAGTTTGTTTTATGCCTCATTCAGAAACTGTGTGTTAAGCAATACATATAAAAGAGCAGTGTTGCTCATGAAAGTAGGAGTGAAGTGTGGTATGAACACTAAAGAAATAGCAGACTTGGCCACAACGTAGATATCACTACTTTGATAGGCTGACATTTTTTTTGGGGGGGGGGGTGGGGTCTGGCACTTGGCCTTTTTTTACAGTTAGGTTTTTGTTGGGGATTTAGTATTACATCAGATAAAATAATTACAATAAATAACCTAACCTAACCCACCGTATCTATCCCTGAACCGGGTTTTATAAGTGATTTGACGTGTTTGTTACAGGACTTGGTGATACTGAAATTGATGATGCCGAAAGTAATAACGAATTTTCCTATAGTCGTAAATGGCGTTGCTTGTTTTAGATTAGAAATTTGCTTAATTTTGTTAACTAAATCTTTTGTGTCAAAGAATAATTGTTTAATAATTATTTTATTAAAATAATATTATTTAATAAAATAACTTATGTTAGGATAAGAAAGAGTGACACTTGTTACATTTACGGTGATAATTTAAACGTTGATGAACATTATGTTTGTAAAAGAATTTTTACAACTTCGCAAAAGAAAAGCAAATTATAATTATACATATACAGCCTGAAAATTTAATACGCCACGGATGTAGATATTTTCTTCTTAGGTCACACACTGAATATTTTCGCTCCTCGTTAACCTTTTTTTCTTTCTTGTATTTTTCCCTGTTAAAATCGCCCGAATAGAGTCATAGGGTACCGTTCTCGCATAGCTTTCTCCCCGGTGGGCATCTTTTATTGTTTTCACAATTATTTTACACAAAATTCATGTTTCCCTCTTAGCAGGGCAGGCGAGCGTTTTAACTATTTACAAATACTATTTTAATTATCTCCTTCTCTGTTTTTCCTCCAATGCCTTTGTTGCTTTGCGGTAAGCCGCACAGCCTCCTGTTGCCTCTTTGTCCAGGTCACTGACGAATGGACTAGAATGTTAATGTGTAAATATACGTTTTTTGTGGTTTAAGAAATATAGAAAAAATAAATTCTTCGAGTTGAAAGAGTAATGCCTAGTTGTAAAACAAATTAGTTGTATCACTGCAATTATTTGTATTCTTTAAAATGTGGTACAATAGTTATTTAAGCAATAAAAATATTTTTTCTTTCTTAATACGGTCATTTAATAATTTTTTTTGTTGCTTTTTAAAGACATAGAAACCATTGCACAGACGAGAAGAGACTGTACTGGACCAGCTATAAAAAATATAATCCGACGAGTTTTAGGTAAATATCAATATGGATTTTTAATGGTTATGAAGTTATAATATATTTACAATAAGGAAATCTTTCATATTCTATTTTTTTAATGTCATTATTTTAACAAATAAGATATTTGTGTGCTGCACCATAAAATAAGTAGTAAATAATAAGCTAAATTTAGCAAGTTAAAAATGAAAAATATTTTATTAATTGTTTAGATGAACCCACGCCAGCTGTACCGGATAATCCCGCTTTAAAATTGATGTGTCGTATGTTAGGAATATTGAGGAGTACACAATTTCCAACAGAGTATATAACCATGGTTAAGATGGATTACAGTAAACATATTTGTATCCTATTACATAACACTACACCATATAGTTACACAATACGACGTGGCGTATGGGGGCAATTAATGCGCAACAATTTATTTCAACCACTTGTGGAGCAGTTAGAATAATTTGGACCAGTAATCAACGCCTAATATCTAAATCAGCTCTGTTTACACTAAATTATGTTCAATATTGTTAAAATATAATTATTTAAAAAAACTGTAAAAATAAAAATCCCAATGGCCTTTTCAAATGTAACTTGAGCCACGGGATAGGACGATTATTAGGGTAAAAGTCAGTAATTACACAACGTATCGGCGGATTTTCTGTTTGTATTTTAATGTAACACACAAATACACGAATAAAACAAGATTTTCTGATAATATACATAATTTACATTTAATTAAGATGTTCTAAAAACATAGATACTCTGGAAACATAGATGCTCTGTAAAACAGATACTCTGTGTGACACGATTCACTGACTGTAGTTACACGACTCATTCCCCGTTGGTGGTGGGCACGGCCCGAGCCGTCTGGCTAGGGCGAAATCCCTAAGTCAGCAAATTCCATTCGACTCGGCCGTGGCCAACACCAATTCCTGATGTTCTTATTCTAACAGAAATTATTTACACATACATAAAAAACATATTATAATAATATGCCTAAGACAGGGGTTCGTAACACTCCCCACCCTAAATGAGACATAGGGGCCACATGGTCACTACTGTCTCACTAGAACCCTGAATTATACAATTCAAAAAGGATGGTCTGCGATTTCGGATTGAGGCTCCGCGATTTCCGGTACATATACATGGATTACCCGATTTTTACATTTAACTGTAACTATAATTATAGCTATACATAGTATAAAAATACATGAATATACAATATATATATGATGACCTAAGGTAACAATGAAGACAGAATCGTCTGGTAGCTTATCTAAGTTGTCTAAGTTAAGAGATTCTTTACTGATTTGACAAAGGTCATTGGACACGCGTACATGGTTGAGGCTCTGTGGTTGTACAAGATTTAGGGTTGTCAGTATTGTAGGTGGTATACCAAAAGAAATAGATTCTGGAATAACATCGAAGGTCTGATTGATAAATTCATTACGGGTAGGTAACAATATTGCATTTTCCGTATGTATAGTACATGATGGGGATATCATTATTCGACCAATACCTGTTGTATAAAATTGAAATGTGCGCAAAGGATATTTACAATTTAAGGTGACAAGTTCAGATCGCGTACAATATATCCAAGAATCTGATTGTGATAACCGGTTCCAAATTGTAAAATCAAAAGATATGTATTTAATATTACAAGAGTTAGGGATGGTCTGTGGAGATTTTAGTAATAATATTTCACATAATTTGGATGATGCTTTGTGGTTAATTGGCAGGTTGCCCTTACATAATGTATACGGTTGTAAAAATAGACATGCTTCACGCTGAGCGGTGTTTAAAGTAAAATAGAATTCGCTATCGTCGCTTAACGCTATGTAGTCAGCAGTAGGTGAGATAAGTATAGCATTATTATTAATTACATAATGTGGTAAGGGAACAGGTCGATAAAGAGTATATTCGTCAATCGTCGCTATTGGAAAAGTAAGTGAAAACAGAAGGAATTTATCCTTTGTTAGGACCGTTGTAGTCGAGATTTGGAAATATTTCGGGATGTTCTGTTTACTAGGCGTTAGAGGCAATTGAGTACCTGTCGGAAGGGTCAGTTGGATTTCACGAAGTTCGCGTAATAATTTGGACGGTGGTAGAACTGTGCTATGTATTCTGCCATGCATAGCTGAGTTGAGAATTGCAATAAGTGATTGAGTTTCATACGCATATTGATTCAGGAGTATTGTAAATAAAAGTGATTGTTCTATCAATGTAGTTTTAGTTAACAAGATGTTCACTGTTTGCATAGATTTTTGGACTTGGCTACTGAGGATTTTGATGTTAGTCTCGATTTTATTCTGATGCGCAGAGAGATCGCAAGCTTTTCTAGTAATCTCTGATGTAGATGTCTGTAACAGACGGATTTTGTTGTTAGTCAAGTCCGTATCTACCACTTTAGTTTTAACGAATTCGATAATTTTCTGGAAGATGGACTCAGTATTGAATAATGGATTACTACCAAAAAGAATTTTCGCTCCTTTTGTAATAATATTTTTTCTTACTCTTTTGTGAGTGTCTGAGGTATTTAGACCCAATCCTAACCAAATACTATCATGGTTTGCTTCAATTTCGAAAAGATACGGCAAAGTGGCTTGTTCAAATTGTTGACGAGCTTGCGAGAATTCGGACATACTGAGTTTTTGCTTTAAATTGCTGCAAACTTGAGTAGTTTCGTTATACCATGAGGATAACATCTGGAATTTCGATTCATAAGATGAAAGATCAACGAATGTTATTAAAGACCAATCGAAATTTGAGAGTCTGGATTTTGATTGATATTCATAATACATTCCTGTATGGTTTGGAAATGATATTTTGTTAGCTAGGACGGCTGGAAATGATTCTTGAAGTTCAGCGTATACTGGTATCCTGAGAGAAAGAGAAAATAATCGTCTTATGAGTAATGTAATTTAACAAGATTTCGATGTACAATTTGACGTTTGCCCCTCCGCTTAATTGCTATATTAACATTATTGTCTAAGAGTTCCAGGACCTCATACGGTCCATGCCAAAGCGGGCTGAGTTTGTTTTGTGTTCCCGACGCTTTCATATAAACTTTGTCGCCTACACTGAGGTTCTGTTGGGAAACGCCTCGGTCATAAGACTGTTTGGACTTTTCTTTCGATTTAAGGAGACGATCTCGGGCAACAGCATGCGCTTCTTGCATTTGTCGTTTGAGTTCGAACTGATAATCATTATAATTATACTGAGGTTCTGGATTCTTTGTAAAAGACGTAGGTATACTGATTTTTCGACCGTAAACTAATTCGTACGGTTGAAAACCTGTTGAGCTGTGAACGGTTGCATTGTACATGAACATGGCGTGTGGCACTAAGGTGTCCCACGTGAGATGGTCTTTGTCAACAAAGTTTCGCAAGTATTCTCCTGAAGTCTTATGACTACGTTCTAAAGCTCCGTTGCTTTGTGGATGATACGGACTGGTTGATGTCTTCTTGATTTTAAGCGTCTTACAAACTTCAGAAAAAACGTTGCTTAAGAATTCGGTGCCACAATCTGTGACCAAACTTTGAGGTAAACCATGCAGACAGACAAATTGAGTAACGAACTGATGAGCAACCGTAGCGGCTTCATGGTTCTCTACGGGGACAGCCCAAGAGAATTTTGTTAAATCGTCTTGTAGTGTAATAATATAAACATTATTACTATGCGAGCGTGGAAGTGGGCCAACTATATCCATGAAAACTTTCTCAAACGGTTCGCTGGATGTAGTGGTGATAACCATGGGTTCACGTGCTGACTTGTTGGAATGTTTATTGACTTGGCACTGTGGACATTTCCGAACATAGTCTGCAACTTGTTGTCTCATGCCATCCCATGAGTAGTTGGTTTTTAGCAACTGGTATGTTCTCTCAGTACCTTGATGTCCTGCTAAAGGATTATTATGATGCTCCTCTATAAGTTTCTGCTGTTGTTCTGAGGTTAATTTCATTTTATCGTATACATGTATACATGTTGTGGAGGATCTGAAAATATGGCGCAACATCCCATGAACTGTTGTCCAGTCAAGTTTGTCAAGCCCACATCCGATTTGCGGCATGGCTACCTTGGTTATTTGATGCTCCACGCAGAATTTTCTTAGGTTCTGTACAGATTGGTAGATATGTTTGTAACGTGGTTTGTTAAACGAACGATTTTTTGTAATGAGATATATGATATAACGAGAGTTTTGTTTCACAAACGCTATTTCACCGATTTGTTTTCCTTGATTCTTGAGTGTTTTGATTTGACCGAATTTTCTTCTGAATTGAAGTGCAATTCCTTTAGTCATTTTGAAATCACTTGAAACGCAATGAGCTAAAGCCCATTCTGGATCAGAGGAAAAAAGATCTCCAGATACTTCTTTGACGTTTGATGTTGACGGAATATCTGAAGATTCTAGTTTACAGAATTCTTCGTATGATTGATTAGACGGAGGTTCTGTATTAATTTCAATGTCTGAAACAAAATGAGAGGTCGACGGTTCATTTGAGTAGCTAGGCTGTTGTACCTCTTCATCAACGTCAGTTGACATCCGATTGTTTGCTTCAGTTTCTGATCGTGTTACCACTCGCTGTATTCTACTAAGACTATCAGCATTAGTATTGCTTGTACCTGATTTGTAGAAAATTTCGTATTGGTATTCTTCTAACTTGAGTCTCCAACGCGTTAACCGTGAACCAGGGTCCTTTATTCCAAATAACCAGACTAAACTTCGATGGTCTGTGATGATATTGAACTTTTGGCCAAACAGATAGCAACGAAATTGCTTAATTCCCCACACGATGGCACAAAGTTCTTTTTCAATAGTGCTGTAATTGGTTTCAGCCTTGTTAAGAGTACGAGACGCATAAGCGATCGGCAAGTCCTTTTCCACGGGCCCTTGGGACAAAACACAACCAATAGCGAAGCCACTCGCATCGCATGTCAGATTAAAAGGCTTAGTGAAATCCGGATACTAGAGCAGAGGTTCTGAGGTGAGTACTCGTTTAAGTGTCTCAAACGAGTCTTGGCATATATCGGACCAAATAAAAGGTACATCCTGTTTTAAAAGAGACGTCAGGGGTTTTGCTATGTGTCCGTAATTTGGTACAAAACGGCGATAGTAGCCAGATAACCCAAGAAAAGATTTCACTTGCTTTGCATTAGTTGGGACTGGAAAATCGAGAACACATTTGGTCTTACGAGGGTCTGGTTTCACACCTTGATCTGTGATGACATGCCCCAGATAGGTAACTTCTTTACGCATGAATTCGCATTTCGTGGGTTGAAGTTTTAAATTAAATTTTCGGATTCTGGTGAAAACATCCGTTAGTTTTCTCGTGTGTTCAGTGACGCTAGCAGCGTACACGATAATGTCATCTAAATAGACGAAAGCCTTTAAACCGATATCACCAGTTAGTACGGTATTCATGAGACGTTGGAATAACGCGGGAGCGCCTTTCAGACCAAAAGGAACTCTGAGGAACTCAAAATGTCCTTTGTCGGTGCTGAAAGCGGTTTTTTCTCGATGTTCTGGATGCATTTGGACCTGGTGATAACCCTGGGCCAAATCAAGAGTGGTGTAGTATTTGGACTTCCCCAGCTGATCTAATATGTCTGACATCAAAGCTCTCCTCTGAAAGTAATTTTATCCGAGTAAGCCTGTACAGTGGGGTCAAGACATAATAAGGTCAAAGCACGATACAGAGGTCACAGATCCACAGGGTATTATAAATAGAAGTTGTATAATTTTATTAACCAATAAAAGCCGACTTAAAAAATGCCCAATCAGTTGATTATGTATTGTTGATACATTTATTTGTGTCGATAATTAAAAATTGATAGTGTAACCATCTAACTATCAAGAACATAAAACGTTTTACTCTATACGGCAACCAGAATAAACATTTTTAAATTGAAAAGCATTATGATTTTATATTATTTTTCAACACGTTATCGTGTGCTAAATTCTAGATTTGTGAAATTTTCGGCGTGGTTGTGTATTGGTTTAAAGAAGTATTTTTCTGTGGGCTATTACTCATTTGTTGTTCGCATCGGTACGACAAATAAAAAAAGACACTAAAAGCAGTGAAAAATAATTGTGTTTTTACACACAATACATCAATGTCTTTTCTTTACTAGCGCACTTAAGAGTCCGAAAAATCTAGATACATAGACCATTATTAAGTATTCTTATGTGTACTATTATTGCTTATATGCTATTTCATACCGATACGAATTATAGGTAAATTAGACGCAAAAAAAATATTGCCTACAGTGTGTTGTTGACGCGCTTTAAGGTTTATTGTAATACAGGGTGATTTTTTTATCATGGGCCAGTCAATATTTCGCTGGGTTTATTATTAAATAATGGATTTTTTTTTTATACAGTTTTTATATAATGTAATCTCAATTTTCCACAAATTTTTATATTCTTACCCAACTCCCAAATTAGTTATTTCGATAGCAACATATATTTTTTTTGTTAAAATTATCAAGTGCTATATTATATTTAAGTATGTGCACTTAAATTTTTTATTTTGGATGTGTAGTTACATAGCTACATTCGTTTGAATATATAGGCAGGGGGGGAATGGAGAGCACGCGTCAATGCTGCTCGCAAACACTTTTATGTAGGTATTATTTTGAGGTATCATAATCACTGTTGGAAAATTTATAGAATCAATTTTTCATCCACTGGACATTCCGTCATAAGTTCCCCTAGTCATTGTTCCCACTCAATAAAGTTATTATAGATAATGACGTGGCGGATGCATGTCGCCCCAATAATAATGAAATTATATACCTACCTAATTATTATTTTCGGTTGACCATTTCATACTTATCAGTTATCACTATTAGATAATACAAAAGATGTGGTTATTTGCGGTTGAGTATTTTATACTTATTATCATTATTTTGTTTAATACTATGAAACAAAACACACTAAATTAATAAAGATATTGTAGTCTGTAGATTGTCGAATGTCAATAATTAATAATTATGCATTTCATAGTCTATACTTTATAGTTGCACAGTACTTATGATATTATTCTGTTTTTTTTAATAAATAACTTTGTGGTTTACGTTAATAGGTCTTGACCTACGGATTATTAAATTAATATTATCTAATCATATAAAAATAAAGTATCGCATTATATAAGTGAGAACAACATTTAACAAAAATTAGCGCAACCATCCAGTCACAATCTCTCTCTTGAAACAAATATGAGACTTACAATATTATATGCGATCTCTATGCTGCTGTATGTATGGAGTAGTGATTCTGAACGATGACATCACAAATAAATTGGAAGCATTTGAGATATGATAACAAATTATAAACAATTTTGTTCTTATTTAAATGTTTTTAGTAGAAAACTGCATAAAACATAATAAATAATTAGTATTTGACACGTTCACTTGTATCATTTTTGTATGCACGCACGTCAGCCAGGTAAAAAATTAACATTAAAAAAAAAAACTGTAGAAGCCTCAATAAAAAAAAAAATTTTGTAAAATGTTGTTTAATAACGCTGACAATTAATTTACATATTTTTTAATTCCTTATAATTCTTATAGACTTGTGATTTTCCCCTGCCCCTTCAATAAGCTTTGTTGACACTATGACCCCCTCGCCACTGTACTGGCTTTTCTAGGTATTTTTTTGTTCTGAAACTTACTCAAATCGCATTTATCTGTGAAGAGAATACAATATTACATGACTATTCAAACATGTTTGTATGTTAACTCATTACCGAGATATGGCGCTTAAAAAAAAAAGTCATTTTTTAAATTTCGCTAAAAAATGCAGAATTCCACCATTTTTAGTAATATTATAATTTATTGTTAAATTATTTGGGAGTGCATCATTTACGTTTTATACTTAAACAATTAATAATAAAAAAACTGTTTTATATAAACTCAAATTGCATTATCGATAAAAATTCTATGATTATTTATCATCAATCTATAATTTCATCAGTACGGTATGTCGGGTAAGTTAGCCGGTCGCAAATTTTTGTAACTTTGTAGATAGAGTGAAGAAAGGGTATGCAAGAACATTTAGATGAAGGGTGGTGGAGAATATTGTAATGGAGGGAGCGGAGAAAAATGAACATCACCATAAACCTGAACACTAGCCGGTGGTGGTGAAGACCTAAAACTTATCAATCTATGGACATGAGTGATATGTCTCATGGTTGGGGGTTTGTCGAAAATTAGCGTCACGCTTATGGTAGGATTAGTTTAGATTTGTATAACACAAGTACGGTTTGGTTACATTGAGGTTAAGCCTTACCTGAACTTGAGACATCATGAATTCGATGGCGAAGAGAATAGTAGGGACAGAAATGGTAAACGAGAGAAAGGAACAAGGAAATTAAGAGGTGGAGAAGAATGATGAGAAGATGGAAAGGAAAAGAGAAGAAGAGGAGAGGATGAAAGTAACCGTGAACATAAACACATATTTAAAGTGAATAAAGTTGTTTATCTGTTTTTTATAAAGTTAACATAAATTGATAGAGCTAAGAAGAATAAAAAGTAAGTAATTTTTTAGTAATACTATAATTTATTGTTAAAATACTTTCCAGTGCACCATCTCCGTTTTATACTTGAAAAATTAATAATAACTGTTTTATATAAACACAAATTGCATTATCGATAAAAATTCTATGATTATTTATTATCAATCTATAATTTCATCAGTACGGTATGACGGGTAAGTTAGCCGGTCGCGGTTTTTCATCGTTTTCCACTATCCAACAGTCGCCGGTTTCGCCGTGTTTCAGTATTTCGATTAACCCTTTTGCTACACTTTCGGGTCTGAAAAAATTACATTTGGTCAATTTTATAATAAAATACAAAGTTATAACTGCATAACATATTTTTAGCTTGCATGCATTATAGTCGTGGCCAAATTGATGTGTGGTTAGTGATTCCGCCCAACGTGAGACGATACGACACAAAGGAGCAACAACTGTTAGCAAAGTATTTCAGATTTGAGATTAGGAAAACATTTCTAGTTGAATTGATATATAACATGACTTTTTGATATTCGGCCACAATTGCGTCCACTGAGTGGCCACTGATTGGCCGGCATGTGACCAAAACCAACATATGGCACGTGACACATCATTTTGGGTAAGAATTATATTATCAGTTCAATTGTGTCATTAGAATTATTTTATATTAAAACATGCCGGCCTTTTAGTGTCCACCCTGTGGACGTATGTATGGCCAAAATAAGATACCAAAAAAATCTTGTTACATAACAATTTAAAAAGTTTTTTTTCTAATTTCAAATCTGAAATTATTTTTTTCGTAAGAAAATTATTTAATGAGATACGAGTTCTATTTTAAATAATTTTAAAATTTGTAAAAATAAATACGGCATCTTATTTGCCGCCAGAAAAATAACGTGAAGTCACCAACCGCACCTTCATATGGCCACGACTATAGTTGAGATTACAATGATGTTTTTTTACTGTGGACCAAATAACTCAAGTCTAACTAGAATTCAACCCTCTCCTTTAAAAATCAAAAAAAACATCCAAAACATTTACATATTTTTAACTTAAAATTACGACACGCAATAACTTTTTTTTAACAGCCGAATTAGTTCAATTTTGTACGGAATATTCTTTAGATAAAATACTACCGATAAATGTTGACAAACCGAAAAAAGACCACAAACCCTTTGCCCTAGAAGAGGTGGACATTTTTTCTTTATTTAGCTATTTTAAGAAAAGTTTTCGGATTTTAGGTCTGAAGATTAGTCAGAAAGTAGATCTAGAACCGAGCTATAACATATCATTGATCCTTATATTTCTATTCCTCCCCTTTCCTCTCCTCTGCTCTCCTCCTTTACTAATGTAGCTTTACTTAATCAAACCTTACCTAACTTTCCGTTGTCGCAATGGCGCTAATTCCAAATAGAACTGAATCCAAATAAATGTTCGCGTCGAGTTACGCCTGATTTTAGTTGCTTACCTTTAGGGGTTAGACTCTACAGAAGTTACTCTGCTGTCTGTTTTCGTACGTCCAGTTCGTGATGATTAAAGATGCTGATAAAAGACAGCTGACAAAAGAATACGAACTTACGAGATAATATGTCATCAATGGAAGGGAGGTGCAAAGATCGTAGTTAAAGGTAAAGCAGAAGAGGGAAAAAATGACCATGACCACAAAACACTAGCTGATGGTATTAATGGCCAGCATGTCATCAGTATACTTAATATTTTCATACTTAAAATTCACATGCATAATATTTCCTAAGTTTTATCATTGATAACTAAAACCAAGCAGTTGATCGCGGAAAAGGTGAATTACATGGAAATGGGTTTCAAGAGACTCGTTATCTTTAAACAAAACTAAAAACCCCGTAGAGCTAATAACACATAAGATCTACTTGACCACTTTTTTAAGATAAAAACGAAATTCTAATTGCATAACAGTTTATACCTTTGCACCGGTAACGTGGCCTCAATTTTTTTTCCTATTTTACTGTACTCTTCGATCAAGTACACACTGGACCTATCGCTTTCCAACATTGGCGTCTGCGAGAATCCTGGACACAGCGCCATAACTCTGACGTTTAAATGCTCGAATGATTTCTTGTCCTTTAACATAAAACTCACTTAAAGCGTACAAACATCAACATAATATAATGTGTTTGCAATATATTACGCCGATCGCTCTGGTGAATTCTACGATGGCCCGTTTTGTAGATCTGTATAATGGACATACAAACAAATGTCCAATAAAAGCAGCTATGGACGCAGTCTGCACAACAGTTCCTCCGTTGCCACCATACGGCTTGCCCATATACTTAATCGCCAACATGGTGCCCCTGACCACACCTCCCTAAGGAAAAAAAAAATTCTGAAGAACCTTCTGAAGTCTGTTTATAAAAGTTTCGTGACGCCTTTGATCGCATGACGTAACACAATGAAAGTGGGTAGGAGATGGGATAGTAATAAGGTGAAATCGATAACTCATGGATGACTGATAAGAGAATATTGATAAAAGAATCAGCTGGCATAGAGTAATAGTATAGAGGAGCAGTTGCGTTCCCTACATCGCCTGCATACCACATTGGTTCGACAACGGACAAGTGACCCCTCTTTACATTTTGACTACAAATAAAGAGAAAAAATAAATAAATGTATAAAATATATATTTAGGCAAGCTGCATGATTACAGATCATGAACACGATTTGAGATAATATCACAAAACAACCAACAGAGAAACATTTTAAGAATTACATGAGTTCTTATGGGAGATTATTTTTGTCACACCTACGGGCTAATCAGTGTAGACGGTATAAAGATAAGTATTATTTTTCTCTTAGTTCTGGTGACACTTTTCATTTCTTAACTCAAAATTTGTGAAATCAGTTTCGGCAGCAAAGAAGAAATTTCTGACTACAATACATTTTTCCAGAATTTTAGTAACGAAATTTATGATCTCAATGGCTGTTTTTCTTCTGGGTAATAGTCATTCTGTTCTAAAACAATTATTGTTTACCAATAACCGTATCAGAAATGTGTTTCTTCTAAAGTAGCTGCACTGCAAGAAGCAGTCACTTGTCGGACGGCTCCTCTATATTACTCTGGAAGATGAGGTAGGCATGGTATAGGCATAAGTGGAAATTCGGATAGCTGATAAGATATATTGGACTAGAGAATCAGCTGATAAGGGACAGAACATTTGCTGACCAAAAGACATGCCCACGATTTAATGTCTGCCGTATAAAGGTTAAGATTGAAACGATTTTTTCAAATATTAAATATAAGTTAAACAAATCATTGGCTTTCAAGCTACCTACATAGTTAACGTTAATTGTAGACTCCCACTTTTCCATCGTTTCGTTAAATATTCCCGCATTGTTGACGACTATGTCCAATCTCTTAAAGTGGTCTATACACGACTTGAATGCGTCTGAAAAATAATTACACAACATCATAATCTTTATGACGTTTTAGCTAGGTGGACAGAAATAGCCTATGCTTAGCTTCGCACCAAAGAGTTGGTATTCGATGAACAGAGTTGGACATTTTTTATTCGAGTTCAAAGCTGACTTGAAAAATTGTCATTTTAGTGATTTCATAAAGTTAATTTTTTAATCATGATTATTTTAATCTAATAGTAAGCAAAACAACAAATTAGTCATATATTACTAATTTCACTATTGCGTAGAAATAAAATTAGTGGTAATTAAACATTTTTTCTTCAAAAAAGTAAAGTAAGTATGTACTTAAAGTACATACGAAATAAGTTATTCGTGACTTAAGAAATGAAGAAAATAACTTTGGTACAGTTTAATAATATTGTTTATTATTTTATTTTATTTTTTTTTTTTTAATTGAGGCATACGCATATTTATAATAGTTATTTAGCTTTTGCCTAATTTTTCAATAAATATTAGCGTTTAAACTAAAAAACTGTGTAGAATAAATTATTACAATACGAGTTATAATTATTACTTTCGAATACCACATCGCTAGTGACGTCACAATGTAACGCTAAGACTTTATCGTGGCCGAAGATCTGTGCAAATTCATTGGAAACGGATTGGCATTGCTTGATGTTTATGTCACAAAGCGCTACCTAAAAATAAAAAGAGATTTTGTTATGAAGGTTAAAGTTGTGTTATTAATTAAAATCCAATTGCAAAAAACTTGTAAAACAATAATTATTGTAGTTAAAATTTTTAATTTTCCCAATTAAAAGTTTGTCTAAAAATGTTCAGGGAATCGTTTAGGTTATGGGTCCACTCTAAATGTACATTCAGTCTAATTTTAAGTTTCAGTGAGGCTTAGAACTACACATACAAAAAGCAACATAAAGAACAAGTGTCCATCCATTTACATATAATATAACTAAAGAATATTTCATATGAACTATGAGATAATTCGACTAAGCTCAAATTGTTTTTTTCTTGAAAATAATTTCAAAAAGGGGTTTCCTTCTTTTTTAAAAAAAAAACTGAAATTGTTTTGTTAGTTTTTAGCCTGAATAGTATAAAAACAAATCCGTAGTAGAATTGGGTGAACTTTTTAAATTTTATTCCTACCACTTCATCTAAAGAAAATCAATTATCACTCAAGAAGTTTATGGGTTATATTTGTCAACAACATAAATTTCTCATTTTATGGGCGTGATAAATTTATTATATCCCTACCATCAGAAGTATATTTTTATTACTTTTATAATATATATATATATATATATATATATATATATATATATATAAATATACATACCTTAACATTATTTTGAAGTAAGTACTTGGTGTAAGCATAACCGATTCCAGACGCTGCACCAGTAACTAAAGCCACTTGATTTACAAATTCCATGGTAGGTTCGATTTTGTTATTTGTAATTAGTTCCGGTTATAATTATTATAACACACAGAATTTGTTTACCACTGACGTTACTGCAAACAGGCGAGTAGAGAAATATATATGACTAGGATATAAAAATATTGTATTTAAATGCATTTTAATCAAACATTTGCACAGTTCTGAGAATATGATGTTATAAGAGAATAATAATTTTGTTTACTTACGATTTAACTCTACAAAGGACAAGTTTGTTCTGATGTGTTTCTGCAATCCTACTAAAATAGTTTAAGAAAAATAGTCTACTTGTAAGGTTCAAACAATAACCATACAGCAGTTATTACTCGGTAATTAGAATAAAATTATAATATTTTAATATACTGTATTATTCATTATTATGCTTGTGTGTGAACGATTATAATATATATATAAATATATATATATACATATATATATATATGTATAAATATTTATTCATTGTTATAATATGTATATTATTATTTTTCATTGTATAACCTTGTGTTATTTACATTGGGAATAAATTGAATTGTAGCATTGTATGATATTACCAACAGTGCATAATTAATATCTCATATTAAATTTCAACGTAAGGCTAGTCACTATGGTAGACAATTAATAATTAAGTTTTATAAAAAAATTAGCTATTGGTAAAATCATAAATTATTCCTAAATGACACGGTGTCTATCACTAAAATAATAAATAAATATATAATTCGAGGCATGTTGTTGGGTTGCCAAATGCGGGTTCTCGTCGACCTTTTCATATATCTCACAAAATATCTCAAGTGTTTAACATCTAATTTGACACTGGGCACTAGTGTACTATAGTGTAAATAAAAAATTTCCATCTGGCATCTGGATATACAACAAGAAGTCCGTAGAATGGGGTTAATTTTTCAAATTTTATAACATACAATATTTGCATAAAGATTAAACTTTTATAAATTTGGAAAAAATGATTGTATCTAAAAAATAGCCCGTTGATAGCGATTTCTTCAACAACTATAAGGTGCAATCCAAATTAAATGTATTTTATATTCACAAACATGTTGAATTTCTGTTACAACGGGCACTGAACGGTTAAGATTCAGTTATCCATTTATTAAACGGCTTTGTTTGGTAGCTGAGTAAAAACAATTGACGAATGCAGTACATCATTAAAAAAACATGAATAGTATTGGTTAGGTAAGTTAAACTAGAAATTATTACTATTTGTATTATAATAATGTTATCGTACAAGGTCGAGTGTCGATCAATATTATTTCGATATCAGACTTCATACAGCTTGTACCAAAAAGTGAATTTATTGAGGTTGTTTCCAAACGACAACAATCGATCGGATTGCAATCAAATAGGTATTTCGAATCGTTTTTAATAATTATACGCAGTACAGCCTTGGCTTACTTAAAAGTTACAAAAAACAAAATCGAGCCTACCGTGGAACGGGCAAACCAAGTGGTTTTAGTTACTGGAGCAGCTTCTAGGACCGGTTAGTTCTTACTTAAAAAAAATGTTAAGGTATATATAAATTCACTTCTGATAGTAGTATAACAACAAATTTGTCACGCCCATAAAAAAAAAGCAATTTTTGTTGTGGACAAATATAAAACATTTTGTTTATAATTTGTCTTATTTTTAGATTGATGAAAATTGTAAATTTCCCCAAAGTTAGGGCGTCGATGGAACAATTGTTGACGCTCATTTTTCCACGTTGTAACTTAACGATCAAAGTGTCTGTTGTTTCTGCTCTATAGACGTTGAAAAGATCATCCGACTTGGTGCACACTGATCGATATCTTAATGCGTTGTTAGTAGAATTTTTTTTTATAAAATAAATACCGAGTGAGTTAATAATATAATGTATACTTGTTTTCAGCATGATTTTAATACTGATCTAGCAGCAAACGTAGTGGGGACTAAGTAACTTGTTATTATATGAAAAGGGTTAAGTTCGTTCAATTAAATATCTTTTTGTTGGTTGAACAATTGTTATTAACAAATTCTTAAAAGTATAACGCATCAGAATTAAAAAAATACTTTTTATGTATTTTTTAGGTAAACAGTTTTTTTTTCATACGAATTACCTACATTTTAAACAAAACTCCTTCATAAATGATCATATAAAATTATTTTTAATAATTAAATATTCTTACATAATTCAATTTATCTATTATAAATTATTATTTTTAGTGAATACTAGAAAATAATGTTATAATAATATGTATAAAACTGAATGATTTGACTTTCGTTGCTAGTTCAAAATACCCAAATATTTTTTTTTTTTTATTTAAGAGTATTTACAATCTATGCTGCAAGGCATAATAAGCAAATAGTTACATTGTTATATATACAGAGAGAGGGAAAAAAAAATAAACAAATAGAAACGGTGATTTGGTATGAGGAGGGAGGCTATCCAGTGATAGAACCCAACGTGATTTTTGTTCTAATTATTTTTAATTAGATTAATTTGAATTATTGTATTAATAGATCTCGACACCAATGTCTTCGGAGTCGGCGAGGTGGATTTCCGGGGAGTGAATTAGAAGCAAGTTGAGATATTAAAGGGTTAGAATGAGTGTGTAATTTGGAATGAAATTTTTTGTAGTGTTTTATGGCTAAATGGTTTATTGGTTCTATTTTAAAGTCATTTTGGAGTGTGCAGTTTGATACATACCATGGGGTGGAAGAGATAATACGTAGAGTGATAGATTGGAAAGCTTGTAAGGTACGAAGTTGGGATGGTTTTGCACATCCCCAAATTTGGATTGCATATGCCCAAATAGGCCTCAATAGGGATTTGTATTTAATAATTTTAGTGTGGAAAGGTAATTTTGATTTGAGGATTGGACGTAGTAAATGGAGTCTGCTGTTGAGAATTTTTCTTTTGGATTTAATGTGGGAGCCCCAAGTTAATCGTTTGTCGAGTGTGACACCAAGATATTTGACTTCCGAGGATATTGGAATAAGTATTCCTTGGAATTGGGGAGGGGGTGGAACAGATTTTTTTAGTGTGAAGGGAACGTACACAGATTTATCTAGATTAATTTTAATTCTCCAATTAGATGACCAGAAATCAATTAGATTTAAGTGAGTTTGAAGGAAATTGGAAGTAACTTCTGGATCATTTCCTGGGGAGAGTATTGCAGTGTCATCTGCATAAGTATCCATAATAGTATTTGGTGTTTTTGGAATGTCAGCCGTAAAAACATTAAATAGATCAGGGGAGAGGTCACTGCCCTGGGGCACTCCTGCTTTAATTTGGTGGTATGGTGAAAAGGAATTACCATATCTGACTCTATAACTTCTATTTTCTAAATAAGAACGAATTATTAAGTAATATGGGGCAGGTAGAAACAATTTGAGTTTGAAGAGTAGGCCTTCATGCCATACACGGTCAAAGGCCTGGGCCACATCCAAAAATACCCCTGGACAATATTGTTTTTTTTCAAAAGAAGAACAAATTTGATCTGTTAGTCTGTGAATTTAGTGAGCAGTCGAGTGATTGGATCTAAAGCCAAATTGGGAATTAGGAATTATGTTGTGGGTAGGAAATATTGGTCTTATCCTTATGAGTATAATTTTCTCAAACAATTTGGCGAGAGTTGGGAGTAAGCTGATAGGTCTATAGGAAGTAATCTCATTTTTTGATTTGTTGGGTTTGGGGATAACAATTATTGTGGATATTTTCCATATTAATGGAAAATAAGAAATTCGCAGCATGGAATTAAAAATATAAGTTATTAGAACAATTGTTTTTTTTGGCAAATTTTTGAGGATTTTGTTAGTTATGAGGTCATGTCCTGGTGATTTCCCTTCTTTTAATTTATTTATTAAAAATTTGATTTCACTTGGTGAGGTATGTTTTGCAGGTAATGACATTGGAAGAGGACTATTGACAAAAATATTAACCTTTTCTAAGTGTTCGTGGTTGGGAAATACGTCAGTATGTGGTTTGAAAATGTTGGAAAAATGCTCTCCGAAAAGGTTGGCTTTTTCTTTGTCAGAGATGGCCAAGGATCCATTTGGGCCAGTTATAGGTGGAAGTTGTTGTTTTATGTTAAGTAAGCTTTTGGTAGTTTTCCAAAGTGAGCCATCTTTTGAGTTTAAGGACTAGTATTTTCTTTCGAAGAACTCAGTTTTGTGTTTTATTATTAATTTTTTAATAGTGTTCGTTAAGTGATTAAATATTTGTTTGTCGGAAGGATATCGATATTTCTGCCATCTGGAGCGTGCACGTCTTTTATCGGAAATCAACGTTTTAATATATAAAGGCAAAGTATGATTATTTGATTGATGTTTACTGGTTGGATATGACGCATTGTGGACGGCAGATTGTACAGAAGTTACAAGGTCTTGGGCAGCGTTTTCTATATCTATTTTTGATTTAAGGGAGATATTTAGATTAGTAGTGTTTTGCATAATTTCAGAGAATTCTTTCCAATTTACTGGGCCTTGTGATATAACTTAAAAAATATAGTTCGATGATACAATGTAATAATGAATAATGTTCGAATATTTATTTAAATATTCAAAAGAACAAAGTATTAATTTGGAATTACCTCATTTAATCAAATTAGTCGTACTTCATAGTATCATATTAATATTAAACTATTTATTAGCAACAAATACTTATACAAAAGTATTCTATAAAAATAATAAATATATTAATTTAATATTAAGTATTTTCAATTTTTTTACCTTCAAGTGGGTCTATAAAATTATAAGTTCGAGGGCGTTCCCGAAATTCATCTTCTTCGATTAATTCTAACAAATTAATTGCTGCTTCATTTTCGTTAATTTCCAAATCGTCATCCATTATTTAAATTTAAAAAAAATATTCAAAACGAATAACAATTTATAAATAATCGTAAGTGTTTACAAAGGTAATACACGCGACTGATATATACACACTGCACTTATGATATAAATTGCATTCCTTTTATTATAAGATAACGCAATTGAAGTCAGTACGGTGAGGTATACAATACGGCTTTACGGAAACCGGTTCACATGGTGTTAATCATCATTTCGAGATCCCTATAAAATCGTTCTAATATGAGGACTGACAGCTGACCACCATTCTCTACCTATGGTGCAAAGTGTAATTCGGACGCCGACATAGCACAGCGACTATAAGGTGTAGTTAAGCACCGACAACCTACCGTTTCGAGCGTAACCCCCGTCTGCCCTCGTACCTCCTAGTAGTTAACTTCGACATTTTGCTGACTTAACTTCTAAAAACTTCCCTACGACTAGCCCCGCTAGTTCGATCAATCAGGATCCTACACGCGAGTTGTAAAATACTACTATGAATATTATAAAAAATAAATTATTTTTAAAAATGTGCGTATTACCATATTGCTTTCTTATTTTTTGATGCATTTCCAGTTCTTATTTAAGACATTTCGAGGCCTTCAGTGTTGTAACGAACTAAGCTACAAATATTATTTTTAATTAATATAATTATTAATTTATTAATAATTATATTTATATTAACAACTATACTAACCCCAAAAATATTAATATTTATATTAATTAACGATTAAGATTATATTTGTGACCTTAATTAAACATCAATAAAAATTACAATTAATGATTTCCTAATATCTCCCATTTAAATTAAATATTGTTTTACTTAAAATGTTCCTAAATAAACTTCTACATTTAATTTGTTGCCTTTGAATTAAAAATAATGGCTGAAAGATACGGATATTTATTTTTTTTTAAATTTATTTAAAGAGATACTTAGGTTAGTAAAATATTGCCCGACAAGGCACAACAGATAAAAAAAAATTACCTTTATTCCCAAAACATAATATGAAGTAGGTATAGCGTTAATATATTTGTAAAATAATAAAAAATCGTAGAAATATAAGACACATATTTTCCTTTTCCACGTGTAAAAGGCTGTAATATACAAATATGTTATAATAAGATATAAAGCAAATGCTTAATTTTAAACAATATCATATCGTGCAGAAAACAAAATAATTCGACTCTTATGATTAAATTTGACTTAATATCATATGAATAGGGTTATTCTGGTACAAGAAAAATCAATCTGTCAAGAATGGCTAATAATTATGTAAATTTGAAATATGTTTAAGCATATTATTACTGATAAAGATTGACGTACCAACAAAATTATAAACCCTTTCCCCTAGGAGGGATAGAATTTTTTTCTATATTTCACTTTTTCAATCAAAGTTTTAGGGTTTGAAAGGTAATCTAATATGGGGCTCTAGCGCATACCAATTTCTCAAAAATCTGTAGTCAAACTTACTTTTAAAAATGAAAACCCCCAAAAAAGGGAAAAACTACACTTTGACTAAAGTAAATGTCTAGGTTACTACGTGTTAGTGAATGAATTATAAACAGGCAATGAAAAACTTGTCATTATATTGTTAACTACGATAGTTACTACTACTAATAGAGTTACTATGGCATTACATTTATATAGATAGACGATCAACCTTAATCGTATCCTTAGTGTTGAAAATGGATATTTAAGCACATAATTATTGTCATTAGGTATAATGTTTTTATCGATATTTTTATTTTTATCTGTAAATACTGAACTTCCTTTGCTTACTCACTTACTACTATTACTCACTAACGTATAATATTTCTTACTGTGCTGGTTTATACTGTGCTTGGTTTGGATTGTACTGCTTTGAACCTTATTGATCATAGCTTTGCATCGAATCGTTTTTACTTGATTACATCGTTTTTTCTAGCTGATTAAAATTGAGAACTAATATTTTCAGGGGGTTCAAGTATTATGGTTTTTTTTGTTTTTTAGCCGTTACAGTGTACACAGATAAAAAAAAACACACATCACAGTAAAACCAACACCTTCGCCGTTTTCTGCATCGAAACTAAAATTATTTTTTTTCAAACTGTTTATTCTAATTATTAGTCGACTTAATTATAGAAAATAAATAATACCGTACAACCCAATCTCAGAACAAGAATGAACATTTTCCACAAACTAATATGATCTAATTATTTTTACATCAACTTTTAAAATTGAAATAGTAACGCATACATTCCATTAACTTTTTAAATTGAGAATAATGCATATTTTACTATGTAAATGTTAACTGGTCGAAAGCCAGTTTTGGGGTAATTATTTTTCATATTATTTAAGTTTCAAATTTATAGGTGGAGTGCAGTATTTTTTTTTTCTGCACACACTTTCTCTCCCTTCCTAACTTTTAAACTCATATAACTTTAAAAATAGTTGTTTAAAACTTGTTATCAACCATTCAATTTTTTTTAGTAAAATATTCTTAATTTAAAAATGAATAAAATATATACGTTAGCATTTTAACTTCAAAAGAGGCTATTAAAAAAACAAAGTGGGAAAGGGGATAAAAACAATTGTGAAAAGTTGAGATCGAGTTGTATAAAAACGTCATGAACAAAAAAAATTCAATTTATTATAAAATCCTATTAGATATTGAGTGGCATATGATCAAAGATGCACCCTGTACACGGTTGCTAAACCAAAAACAATATAATTAAAACATATTCAAATTCCTATTGACTGTCAATTTGTACATAGCAACCTAGAAATTCATATATAAATGTGTATATTTATATTTATATTTATCATATAAAAACAAGATCGCAAAATTAAAAATTCTTATCTCCGGGTTGGAGGCCACTGGGATTATACAAATTGCATTTACATTTATTATTATTTGCTTTCGTTCTTGTATATGCTCCGGAAATTTATCAAGGTTATTATTTTATTTTTACAAATACCAACTTTCTATTTTACAATAACGTAAACATTAGATATATGGACGATTGTAAAACCTAAGAAAAACATAGTCTTAACTCCGCGTCGAAGTAGAGTGTATGTACACGGTAAAAAACATAAAAAAAATGAACCAAATGTGTAAATAAATAACAATACTGACATTGCAAAAACCTATTCGATTCTGATTTTTAGGGCAAAATATACCTTAGCTCATTTATAAGTCGCAAGACCATATAGTTTCAAAAGCCGAACAAGTCGATTATTGTCTAAGAAATTCTATCAGCTTAACCATATTAGTAAGTACTTCTGTCAAACTCTGGAAATTTTAATTACGTAAAAACTAAAAAGGAATGAGATTAATGAGTCACACGTTTTAAGGTGAAAAAGATAGTAATGAGTATTTTCTATAACTAGTTATTTTTTTGACTGGTCTAACGGCATTTTTTAACAACGTTTTTGAGTGAACGGTTTTTTATGTCTTTTTGGTACTAAAACAAATAATACAAATGATACGTTTTATTTAAATAATACAAATGATACGTTTTATTTAAATAATACAAATGATACGTTTTATTTAAATAATACAAATGATACGTTTTATCATTTTCGCATTCACATTTCTGGGAGAATTCTATAATAGATTTTTTCATTATTTGGCTTGATGTACACTATGAAGTATAAAGAAAAAAAATTGTTTAACCCGTTTTCATAATACCTCATAAAAGTAACTCCTTAGTGTACATATATCTAATTAAAAGTAACACATTTTTAAAAATACGTCGTCAAAAAAATTATTGTTCAGCAAAATTTAGATTGTCCATCATAACCATCATCATAACTACAAAAATGAAAAAAAAATAATTTTGTAGGGTTTTAAATTCTGCATAAAATACGGGTACAATTATTATTTTTTGCTTTTTTTTATAATCGCCAAAAATATAATTCCAAAGTTGAAAAATTGGAAAAAAAACTTTTTTTTATTTACTTAATTTGTTAACACCTATTTGCTTGTATCACTTAATAATATGCACTTATTGTTTGTTTGATAATTATATACGGACTGACGACCCGTCCCGGATAGCGAATTCATCAAGAAACCATCTGATGGCCGCGTTGGGCCTTCATGACCCGTTAAACTACATGACGATGATGATAATGATAATTATATATGCATTATAAATCTATGGAAAATATATTTTTCCGAGTTTTTGTTTTTCTGTTAATTTTTTTTTTTATAGTCATATTTTTTACTATCGACTTAATTTTCATTTAAAAAAGTTGTATTTGCATATTTTACGGCAAGAAAATGATAAAAATAAAATTCTACATATATATTATGCATAACTTACACAAAATTATATATTATTTTAATTTTTGTAGAACTAGAACTTTTTGAGTTATGATGGAAATTCTAAATCATTTTTGTAAATAGGATAGAAGTGGGTAGGAGATAGAAGTGGGAGATAAAGATAGAAGATAGGGTTGTGGGCTGGAGTGAGAGATAGGGGTAGAAGATAGGGGTGGGAGATAAGAGATATTTTGTACGTTCAACGTTAAAATTAGAACTAAATGATAAATTCAAAATAGTTTAAGGGCCCGAAATCTCTATAAATTGTTTTAAGCCAGATATTAAACACTACAATATTAGCCAGAAACTTGATGTTTTAATATACTAGCTTGTTACTGCTTCTTAATATACTATATCATTATCTATAATTCCACCACTACTCTAAATTTATTCGGTTCTTTAACGAGACATGAAAATGCTCTATCGTGGTTGTAGACTCGGCTGAAAAACTTTTTTTGTTACCTCTAGCCTCTAATCATTTATCTCTTATAATTTATCTCTTATCATTTATCTCTAATCTCTCGTCTTTTATCTTTTATCAATTATTTCTAATTATTTATCTCTTATCACTTATCATTTACTTCTTATTTCTTGTCTCTAATCATTTTTCTCTTATCATTTTTTTAGTTATGGACCGAAAGAGACTGAAAATGATGTGTCCACTATTTTAAGGTGGGCTTTTTGCAATTTTGCAGGAATTTTATTAGTTTTAAGCCATTATTTTTTTACCTACTAGTCGAAAATTTTAATTTTTGACTTATCGAAAAAATGAAAACGGAAACCTTATTTGGGGGACCCCCAGATGTCCAATTACCTATCACTTAACTTTCATGCTGGAACACCATGTATAAAAGTCAAATAAGAAAACAAAATTGATTATAAAACAACAGAAAACAAAAAAACCCGGATTATGAAAATTTGTAAATAATGATTTCTATATTTAAAAAAGCTCGGCTATAGTCTAGAAAAAAATGCTCATATTTAATACAAAACATTTCAATACTAAAATGCAAGAAACAACTACTTTATTTTATCACGTAATAAAAAGCACTTATAATTTATTGTTTGTTTGATAATTATATAGGTACACATTATAAATCTAATATAAGTCTATGGAAACAATTTTTTTTTTTAATATATAATCCGAGTTTTTGTTGTTTTGTTCATTGTTGTTTTATAGTCATTTTTTTGTAGTTTGCACTGTACAGTAGGGTTCGAAGCTTAATGGAATCAAAGCATAGAGCATAAAGGGGACGAAGAGGTCACAGGTCTACAGTAATTATTATTAACAAAAGTGTTATATGAGTACTAACTCCTGACAAATTCTCCATTTAAGGTTCTAAAATTACGGCTAAGAACCCAAAAAACAAAAAACTTACACTCCCTAGGGGGATTGGAAATGGGTATAATTTTTAATTTGAGAATTTATTTATTAAAAAAAAAGCCCACGTCATTGTATAACCAATAGCATCACTGCTCCGCATCGAAGCTAAAATTCTGATTAAATTGTATAAAAACATTATGATAAAACAAAAACTTAATTTCTTATTTAACCCTATGAGATATTGAATGATTCACAATAAAACGATCCCCTTGTATTTACGTATCATATACAAAACAGCACCGCAAAACCAATACCTTCTAATTTGTGCACTGGAGGCAACTGGAATCAATATAAATTATTTTATGTTTATTATTGTTTACAGATCAAATTGTTTTTGTTCGCTAAACACTAAAGGAGGTATTCTGAAGTTGACAAGTTCAAACGTAAAATCCATTCTGTTGACATTTTTTGAACTTTTGCAAACGTTTAAAATAAAAAGTTCCTATGATGAAACCTATTATTTTCCTAATATCGTTTTCTAATTTTATTGTATCATTTGTTGATGGAGGTAACTGTTTGAAAGGTAACACTATACAATTTGTTTAATACTTTTATCTTTTCAATATGTATTGAATGTATTTGCGTTTCAATTAAATATTAAAATCTAATGAATTATCAAATGATACAAATATAATAAAAAATAATTTTATAAAAGTATAATAACTTCTAAGTTACCAGTTGGGTCATAACTAATCAATCACCCAGTGGATTTTTCAATACTTACAATCTATCTTGATCTAAACTTAAATCACAGTATAATTTTTTTGAATCGTTGTGTTACGTTTTCTATTTTTTTTTTAGTTTTGGTGGTATTGGAGCAAAGCATTTTAACTTTTGGGCCAACGAACTCTGATCTACTGCATAAACAGATCTTGGTTGATATCATGGGTGCAAACACAAGCATAAAATAAAAAACGTTTAAAAACCATAATTGCTCAGTTTTGCATCAAACCTTCAAATTTCTCTTTTTAATAAAAACAAAATAACACGCATTAAATAAAAATTTTGATATTTTGTTTTTACTAGTTTCTAATAGTAAAAGTACAAAAAAAATTGTATAAGAATAAACATTTTAAGCTTTATCCTTAACTTTAAAAACTACTTAACTATTTTATTTAGCTTCAACATCAGAAGCCATAGCTGAGGACATATTTGATGAAGAAGTTAATAATAGTAAGTATAATTTGTTAATCTTAAATACAAAAAAATCATAAGTAAATGTTATAAGTCTCTTGGGAGAAAAAAAACAATGTTGATATTTCAAAAATTTTTTTCAAAAGGTTTGACTTATTTATTTAGAATATTGATACCCAATTTAGTAATAAATAAAAAGTATTTTAAAAAATATTACTTAAAATTGCTTTTATGTTTATTATTGTTTGCAGATAAAAATGACATTTTTCTGTTTTATAGCTTTCGTTCCTGTATTTGCTCCGGTAGAATATCAAGGTTATTATTTGATTTTTACAAATAACAACTTAAGGTAGGTAATACAAATTTGAAAAATAATCTAATCATTATTTTACAGAGGACTATAGGATGGAGGTTTTAATCACAAGTCAGTAACATTTTTGATTTTTAACAAACAACTTTTAAAATTCATTGTTTCCATAGATATTTATTAAATAATGTAAAACATCATTACAGATACATTCATTGAGAATGCTTTTAGAGCAGGTAAAATATATATAAAGTGAATATGCTAATATATAAAAGTTTTGTAATGGGTACCTAGTTGTCCTAGTACCTAATTTTTATCAGTAGTGAAAAGTGCACCAGGTATGTAGTGTTAAGTTAAATGACTACTGCTTAAAGCTGGGTTATATAATTAACAGTATTCAAATGATTTATAATAATATGGTATCTAATTTTTTTTTATTTCAATATTTCAGTAAATACCTAATTTTTTCTTTTTATTCTAGGTAGATTGGAGCAAATAATTACTGAACTGGTTGATGATAACGTTCATTTCAAAGATTTTGGTAGTCATAATTATAATAATAATAATAATAAAAGCTAAAGAAAAAAGAAAAAAAAGAATAAACATTTGAAAATACTATAAAAATTGCATCTAAATTTTATCGTTGTGTAATTGTAAAGTGATATAAACATAACATTTTCCTTTAAATCTAAATGGAATCTTTATAAAAAAAAACACTGCTGGTAGCTCTGTCAATCTCGTCTGATTATTGTATTTTATTCTCATCCCCACAACTACTGCAATTGATAAATTATATTTTCATAAAGATTGCTTAGTCTATTTTATATAGTTTTTTTCTATTTGACTTTCGTTTTCTAAACTATGTAGTTTTATAATTTTTAATAGCAAATAAATTTATTCCAATATCGTTAATTTATGTAATTTAAATTTCAGTTATAATCAATAGTATGATCGCTGCACCGGGTAATAATTTTTGTTCAATTTTATGAAAATACTTCATTCCCATCGAATTTGCAGAGATTCTCATTGTATTGAATACACAGTGGAGCACATTTCTTCACTCCTTGAGCTTCCTTAACTTTCTGTTTAAAATATTATTATACAAATTTAAACACAATATTATTAATCTATGTAATGTTAATTTCAGATGACAGAGATCTTCTCCTCTTTGTGGGTAATTGTTTTCATTGCCTTATATTGACCTGTTACATACAAATAATTGAGATCCTTTATGCACACAAGAATTTTTTTTTTAGATTCAGAAGAAACAGTTATCCCATCCGATGACAATATGACCAGTAACCACATTTTTATAACTCATATTTAATATACTTAACGCATATTTATTGTTTATAAATACTTTACGATTAGCCATATGTACCTATTGAATAACACCAATAAAACATTTTGACTTTAGTCATAAAAAAGATGTAATTACAATGAAATATAGTTTGTTTAAATTTTAGATTTAAAACATTACCAGTATAATATGGGCCTTAAAATAAAAAATGCATTGGGTAAATATAAAATTAAAAAAAATAATAAATATACTAGTTTGTAGTTTTAAAGAAAAACTAATTAAAAGCTATATAACATATTATGTTTTATACTTATGCGTTTGATGATTATTCAAAATATAATATAAACTATTTCTACAAATGTTGCTATTAGAAATAATTAAACATTTATTCAATAATATTTTGCAATAATTATTTGCTCTAGTTAATATCAATTTTAAGTGACTGTTTTATATAAAATATACAGAGGAAGACGGTGTAAATTTAAAATAAATCATATCATTATTTTCCCTAATTTAATATTATGGAAAATTTCTAGTTTGGGAGTTCCAATCTGTAGTTTGAATATTAGTACACATTATAATACTATCCCCAACTTTATCAATCAATTAATTTATCATTTCTAATCTACCCTTGTTATGGGGTACATTTGAATTTAACGGGGACGGATTTGAGTGTGTCTTATTAATGTAGTTTAATATGTAAAATACAATTAAATTTTTAGAAAAAACGTTTTTCTGTATTTAAAGTAAATATAGAACATGAATGTTCTATGGAGTAGAATATTGAAATGGACTCCATGGTCGCCAATTCAAATCCACCTCACTTTATAATTGTTAATATTGAGTAATACATCAGATAAAATAATTACAATAAATTTACGTGTTGATACCAAATTAAAAGAAAACCAAATTTGGGATTCGTATACATTATTTTGTACTTAAAATTAATGACATTTTTATTTTTCTTAATCACATAATCAGTCTGAAATCAGAATCCGCAGATAACACAAACGATACTTCAACAGCGCGATTACTAAAAATATGTTTTTCTCGTTATTTTCTGCCCAGTGAAAATAGTTTTATCAGCATTATTTAAATGTACCCCGCATTCAAATCTACCCTAATTTCCTCCAAACTGAGTTTTATAAGTGCATAATGATTTGATGTGTTTATTACAGGACTTGGCGATCCTGCAATTGATGAAACCCAAAGTAATTACGAATTTTCTATAGTCATAAATGGCGTTGCTTGCTTTAGAGTTGAAATTTGCTTAATTTTCTTAAATAAATGTTTTATGTCAAACAACAATTTTAATAAAATAAACTTTTTATTATGGATACAGAAAGAGAAAAGAGAGTGAGACTTAGTGACCATTTATGATGATATTTTAAACGTTTTTGAACGTTAATGCTTTTATACAATGTGATCTAAATTTATCAACATTTTTTTTAGTTTTTTCGCCTTCCCAACTTTTTTTTTTTTAAATAAAGCATACATTTCATTCGCTTATGAACTCAAAACAATGTACTAATACAGGGTCATTATTTTATCATAAACCAGTCAATATCTAACTGGATTTAATTAATAATTGATATTTTTTTTTCGTATTGTTTTTATACAATGTGATGAAAAATTTGATCACCAATCCTCATAAGCAAAAAGGAGGATTTTTGGTTTTTGACATTTTCGTGTCTTAGCTGGCACATAACCGAAAAAAGCGTTATTTACTTAGCGCTATCAAAAAAGCGTTACCACACGGAGAGGGTTAGCGTTTGAATTTTAAATTTTCAATTATGTGTACAAGTTTATGTAATTAAAAACAAAATATGTTGCCATTTAAAAAATCAAAAATTCTCCTTTTTGGCTTATAAGGACTAGGGATAAAAAATTTCAAAATATTGAAAAATTGTGTAAAATATTATGTACCTAATGGTTTAGGAAAAATACCATTCTCAAAATATTCATATTTTCAGAGAACACGAGTGTCTTACGTTAGTTGGATCACCCTGTATATACTCGTATATACATTTTTTTACTAGACCCACAATATTTCCTTGATCACTTAACTGAATTTTTTGTATAGCAAGGTAGAAATGTTAGTTGGTTCACCCTAATGAAGATTGACAAAAATGAAAAATTGGTCTCTATTAACTATTTAAATTGTATTGTGTAAAAAATATGTGTTTTACTATTTTCTATGAAACCCTATGAGAAATTGAGTGGTTCGCGATAAAATGATTACCCTGTATATGTTCACGCTAACCGTAATTGGATTATAGTGTTAATGTGTATTACGATCTTTGGGAGTTCCAGTATAGAATAAATACAACAAATTACTTGAACCACGATTCTTTGAGTTATGCACCACTAGCAACTAAAATATTTTGTTTTTATTTTTTTATTTTTACAATATACGGGCATGTAAAAATGATTATCGTGGATTTTGTAGGCTTAGCTTTGGAAACCCTTGGACACAAGAGAAGGGAATGTACTGGACCAGCTATAAAAAATACAATCCAACATATATTAGGTAAATATTAATATAAGGTATGGCTTTTGAAACAGTAATGTACTGTCTTGAAATACAAACTGCGTGGCTATAGAATACGGTCACCATTCATATTCTATTATTTTTAATGACGTTTTCAAATAAGATAGTTGTGTCTTTCACCATAAAAAAACAGTATCCAGTATACTAAATTTTGCAAATTAATTTTTTTTTTAGATGAACTCGTGTATAATCTACCGGATACTGATGACTTTTTAATACGAATGTGTCGTTTGACAGGGATATACTTGAGTGCAACATTTCCAGAATCGTTCATAAACAGGCTTAGAATTAACTACGAAGATCGTGATTGCATCCTATATCATGGCCCTTGGCAAAACAAAATATACAGAATTCATAATGGCGACTGGACGCAAATATTGCCAGGCGGCATAATGCGTCCACTATTTTTAAACTAAAAATTTTCAAAAATGTTAAACTATAACTATTTTAGAAAACTTTATAAAAAATTTCCCAATGGCTTTTGCTAACAATGCTCTGTAAAACAAAATAATATGTACATATTTTCTTGTTTTATTGAATGTAGTAACGAATAATAGTATAAATTATAAAAATTTAATCACACGTGAATATAATATATAAATGCATATTAAAATTATACACAACCATAATTAGTATTGTGTCTCTTAATTATCACAACGTATATTTTTATAAATAAACATTGTTCAGCTACACTTTTAATCTAACTTTGCACAATTTTCATAATCTTAATTATTCGCCTAAACACAATTTTAAAAATAAACTAGTCCAGTATAAACCAAGTATGGTATAATCCAGCGCATAAGTAAGTACTGTAAAAAGTAAAAAAAATAGGATCTACAAAAATTTGATGCAACTTATGCTTATATTTATTCATAAAAATAATATGCATAACGAGATTAAGTCCAGGATAAGTGCAGCAAACCGAGGATACCGTGCAACGAGGAAAATGTTCACATCGAAACTGCTATCTAGAGACACAATGAAAAAAAACTATACATTACCTACTTGCGCCCCATTGTCATGTACGGATGTGAGACATGGTCCACGACGCAGGGTGACGAGAATAACCTATTGACTTTCGAAAGGAAAATACTTAGAAAAATATATGGGCCTATATTAAACCCCAATCTGGTGTATACGAGCGAAGAAAAAACGCTGACTTAAACAGTCTGTTTAACACAACCAATTTAAAAGATTTTCTGAGGTCGAAAAGGTTAGAGTGGGCTGGCCATGTTTGGCGTGCAGAGGGTGGACTGATAAAACAGGTACTCATCAACAAACCAAATAAAAAACGACCTGTAGGAAGGCCAAGACAACGGTGGTTGGACCGAGTTAAGGACGACCTGAAGAGATCACGCAATGGAGCAAGTATTGAGGATGCAGAGGATCGAGAAGTTTGGAGAGCTTTGGTAGAAGCTGCGAAGCGCCTAAATGGCGCGTAAAGCAAAAAAAAAAAAAAATGCTTATATTTATATATATAATAATGATTGTTTAAAAACCCTTGATCATAAAATAATACATTATCTATTGATTTAACTAAACATTTAGCTGTTGTCTTAACTGTTTATTCTCATAAATAACTTATAAAAAGCGGTCCTGTAAGTTTATCATGACTTGTAAATGTATTGTAATTTTACATTTAGTATTATTAAAATTAAGAATTCTTTTAAAAGTCAAGCCAGGAATTAATATAAAGTTAAAAAAAAAGAGGTTAAATTTTATAAAAAAAAAGACGAAAAAACGACCACAGTAGTCAAAATAATTGAAATAATTATGTGTAAAAATAAGATAATTTTTTAAAAAAGTCGAATTAGATGTAGCGTAATTATAAATTTACTAATAAAAAGTATTTAAATTATATTTTATACTGGTATACATTGTTGGCTTTATTATATCTTATGTCGGTTAATAGAAGTATGTTTTTTAAGTAATGATGAATCAAATAATTCGAAAAATTATTTTATTGTATATTATAGTTTATAACTTTTGTTATGAACATTTAATTTTTATATTATATAGTTAAATAATATATCAAAGTAGTATAACACAATAATATTATTATTCTTAAGTATAATATTAATATTAAACTAAACGGTTATGAATATGTCTAAAATGTATGTTATTACTTCTCTAAATTATTATTATCTAAGAAGTTTAGTTTTTGTGTGTACAACCTTCAGTTTTTAGTTAACCAAGTGTGCAGTACAATGGTGCCAACACTCAGGCCCGCCTCAAGCAGGCGACATAGGCACACACCTAAGACAGCATTTTAAGTATTTATGTTGTACAATATTATTGTCAATCTCATACACATAGGCAAAAATAAACAAGGAGAGTGGAAACATGGTATACTTTAGGTTTGGTGCTTTAGATATAAATTCCTATTTTTTTTTAGAATATAATGGCAAAAACTAGTTGAACTGTTCAGTGTTTACCAACACTTTTATCGCTTTAGAAAGCCTCTTAACACTTTCTGTGATGGCTGCCACAGCGGAAAGAAGCTTTGAATTGAATTTAATTTGAATTGAAAATTATCAAAAATAATCTACCTACAGACCCAAATGTCACTAGATCGTGTAGTGGACCTTGCAATGATTTCAATCGAGAAGGATCTGAGAATTACTTTGGACCTGCATGAAGTTACATCTGATTTTACAAACGCAATAGCACTAAAAGTTAATTTTTAATATTTTGTTTTTATTGCAACTATTATAATTGTGTTTTTACGTATGAAGTCTACTATTAAACATCTAACCAATTGTACACTATTTATAAAATAATATAATGGACACGGAATTTGTTTATTTTTGTATAAACAAATATTGGATGTAAAAAATATTTCGCTCATAAACAATTAGGTGGCGAAAAACTTGAGTTTGTCTAGGTGTGTTCAAACGCTTGAGCTGAGCCTGGCCACACTTAACCCACACTATTATATTCATTACGAAACTAGCGACGAGGAAAATAAAATATCAGCTTTAAATCTAAAACTCGACGATAACCTGATGGTTCCAATTTGTTGACGATTAAATCTTGTCTAGTCTGCATCAAAGCGTGCACGAGGTCGTTTCTCACGGTATTGTTTTTTGTTCGGTAGTCCATCGTTCGGTTAAACGAAGATTCGAAAAAGTCTGATGCCGCTAATTTTAGGAAAGTCGCTAATTTTCAACATTTTCCTAAGCGACGGTGAAATATACATGACAAATCTGTATGTCGACGCGAACACCGCATGTCCGGCTTTCCGGAAAGGTGAATCTTCATCAACGATGGCGTTCAACTTCGGCATACCGAAAACGCAAGTACCGATTACGTCCGTGTAATAATCGCCCATGATGTCACGCACTTCTATTGAATTAAGCTCATTGCCAAATTTGTCATCAATTGGTACACTACAACACACTACATTCTTTTAGCTGATCATGCATGTTTTTCAGCTGGGACAATGTGAAAATTCGGCTCAATTTGCTTCTCGTGATTTTCCATTTCTGTCCTTTCGTCCCAAACACGCGGAGTAGCGTCGATATCCACAGCCATACCGCGGTCGGTGGAATGCGAGAAATCTTCGATGAGCCTTTGTTGGACTTTTCATCTTGTAAATGCCCCAGTACTTGTGTCCGAAACTGTGACTATTTTGCTATTGTAGTTTTAATTTTCATCATAGATTTTACAGTTTTTCCATTGTCATATAAATTATAAATAACATCCAGTGGCTTAAGATAAGGTATGAGTTAGATAAAAACATAAAAACAAAAATACACCAATGCAAATCAATGTTTAACCCCATATCCAAGCTAATATCAATAAATTGGTTGCTAAAAAAAATCTAATAAAGAGATTAAAAAATACAAGAAAAGCTTTTTACTGAATACACATTTTTTTTTTAATACTGTAAAGCTTTTTAGTCTAAGACGTCAAAAACATGGCTATCACTAACATAGCACTAATAATAGCCTTGAACCAATAACCTTGAACTAAAGATAAGTAAAACGTTAGATGATCATTTCACCTAAACATGTCTTGTTTTTAGAAAAAACCAACTAATGTTTAAGTTTTTTTTGATAATATTTGTTTAAATATCTTACGGTCACAATTTACATATTATAAACAATTTCCTTATAGTGATATTTTCTATGAAATGATTTACTTATTAAAGTTTCATGTAAATTCGTTACACTAGATGATAACAATTAGTTTTTAGTGTTTGAGTTAAAAATATTATTTTCAACTTTAAATGGTAGTTTTAGATGATAACTTTAAATGTCAAATAGAAACCTACATGTTTTATTAGTCTATCAAATTGAGATTAATGTACTAAAAATAATGAATCGTCTAAAACTAAGTAAACATGTTGACAAAATGAAGTGTGGTAGACTTCAATTTTTGTTTATCCGTATGTGAATTTTTTAAATATTTTCTTTTACAACAATCCTTTGAATAATTATTTCCAACTCGACCATTCGCTGTACACATGACCGTACGGTGAAATAAATTCCGTAGATAGACGTTTAATATTAAATAGTTTTCTTGTCTATGCATATCACTGCACGCTATTTTGAACTATAATGTTGTAACTTTTATCCATGTAATACTTAATTAATTATAAATTTTTTATAATGTATTTACTATGTAACATTTTAAAGTCCAGTGATGATACAACTAACTCCAAAAGTGTATCAACACTATCCCCTTTCTGAAAATTGGTACAAGATATAATTTTTGTTCCTACAAAAAAAGTAGTGCTTGGTATTTTTATGAGGCACTTCGCTATTCTGTTTAATTTACTATATTTCTAATCAGGTATGTGGAGCAATGGCCACCCAATACAAAACTTATAACATGAGCATTACAGACGTTCGGCCACGACTCAGAAGCAAAAAATAAGAAAAAGTACTTGTTTTATGTTTAAAAATAATATACGTGTCTTGTGTAGTCATCTATAATATCATACCATAATCTAATTTTTGTTAGATAAAACAAAAACAACTTGGTTTATGACAAGCGCATAAAAAAGTGAAATTTAAGTACTTATTTTAAGTATAAAATAAGAATTTTAAGTTATTGGAGGACAATATAACGAAAAGCTACTAAGTTAGAAATAAAAAGTGATTTCATTAGAGAATAATAAATAAAAGGAAATTTACACTGTCGTGAAATTAATTGATCGAAAATCTATGAGTTGTACATTCGTCTTATTTAACTTAACAGATAATCTCACAAACTTTGACTAAAGTACAATAAAACAATATTTTAAGGCTTTTTTAATCAACTTTTTGATAACATGGATGTCAAGTAAGGCCTAACAATATTTCTCGTCTTTGATTAGCTACAGCCCATCCATCAGCTATACCACGTCCTCTCAAAATTATTTTTCCAAATTCTCATGACGTCTGTTTATTTGAACAGCCGAGTGGAAAGGGATAATATTTCTCAAACCTAACTTTTGGAAATTTTAACAAAACTGTTTATTTCCTATATAATTTAAATAGGAATTGTGTTTTATAATATTTGTTATTGAAGTTCAAATGGTATATTATCATTTATCGCTTATGCAGTGGCTCATAAGCCACTGCATTTTCATTTCAACTTCAAAACGGCTATCTCAGTTTATTTTTCTTATTTTGTTTTAGTAAATTTTTGACATCTTTTCCTTTTAATATAAATATTTTTTTTCTTAATAGTTTTGTGTCTGCATAAGGATTTGATTATAAAAATTTAAATTGTATTTACATAATTAAAATTTTAATATGAGCAACTAAAAAAAAACTGTTAATTCAGTGTTTTGTTTATTTTGGTATTTTAATCAAAACATGAAGCTCTATGCGAATTGTATTTATTTCAGAATAACCACATCTTACGTAAAATAAATATCCATTCAAATTTAAAAACTTATTCTATACCTTAGATATTATAAAGGTAAACTTAGGTCGACTATACATAATACAACAGTAGCCCTGAAAAGAAAACAGGAAGTTATGGTGTCGGATTTTACATGAGCAAGAAAATGAGCAAGTTCTTTTTAAACTTTAAAAGCCATATCAGACAGGATAAGCAAAATAAGACTTAAAGGAAAATTCAGAAATATATCAAAATTCTCAGTATACGACCCAACTGAAGTCTCTGATGAAGAAGCAAAGAATGATTTTCACAACAGCCTAGAAAAAAGCATTGATAAGGTACCTAAACATGATTGTTATAATGGATGACTTTAACGCAAAGATCAGAATAAATAAGATCAGTAGCAGGACGATTTTCTCTACACGAGTGATAATGGTTTACTCTTGGTTTAATGTGCAGAAATGGTAGGATAATAATTAAAAGTACTTGTTCTCACACACAAAGGAACATGGGAGATGCCTGGATAGAACGTAGTTAATCAAATTGACCATATTGTCTTTTAAGCTCGTCTCAGCTAAAATTGATGAAGACAAGCACGATGAGAGACCCCAACTGCAATACCGATCACTATCTATTTCGTGCAATATCTAGACAACGCTTAGCTAACATACAAAAAGACAAAGGCATAGAAAGAAAGAGATGGAACACTGAATGCCTGAAAAATGAAGATGGCCTAAAAAAATATCAGGAAGCTCTTGACACAAGACTAAGTAGCCTAGGAGACATAAACAACAATTATCAAATAGAAGACCTATAGGAGCTTCTCAAAAGCATAACGCAGCCTAGGAGAGTGTAGGTGACACTAAGAACGTTATAAACGAAGAATGGTATGATGAAGAACGCATAGAAATTTTCAATAAAAAAAAACCAGGCAAGATTAAAAATTCTGCTAAAAAATATCGACCACACGCCCTAATGGTACGGACTATCCAATCCTCTCAAGGTCTATGGACTATGGGATCCCGATTTCGATAGACGGTTACCCATATATTACAATGTATTGAAAATAAAATATGATTTGTCATGTGCTGAGATACACAAAAGAGCTTCTATATATTATAGTAGAAGGGAAGATAAATGTCAAAAGAGTCGGAGACGACTAAGAACATCGTACATCAAAAAGATAATAACCGATGCTGGTCTAGCAAATTATAGGGAATGAAAGAGACTAGCTGGTAATAGAGAGGAATGGTGAAACTATGGAAAACTGCAAAACCAACCTGAAGGGTGATCACACCAAAAAAACCAGTTTAATAGTTATGTACTAATTGCAAATTTGAAAAATAAAATTCAGCAAAATACGATTTGAAAAGGGAAATTGCTTAAACTATTATGATAAGAATAACATTTCTAGGTCTGAAATGATTGTAAAACCATGATATAAATTTCAAAAGAAAAAAAAATACTATTCCGTCCAATAATATATTTTACCTATTCAAGTGTTAACCTAGAAATGTTGCCTCAATATAAAATACATTTTCACTGCAACTCTAATGTAAACATTGGATATATGGACGATTGTAAAACCTAAGAAAAACATAGTCTTAACTCCGCGTCGAAGTAGAGTGTATGTACACGGTAAAAAACATAAAAAAAATGAACCACCTGTGAAAACAAACAACAATACTGATATTGCAAAAACCTATTCGGTTCTGATTTTTCGGGCGAAATATACCTTAGCTCATTCGTAAGTCGCATAAGACCATATAGTTTCAAAAGCCGGACAAGTCGATTATTGTCTAAGAAATTCTATCAGCTCAACAATATTAGTAAGTATTTCTATCCAACTCTGAAAATTGTAATTACGTTAAGACTAAAAAGGAATGAGATTTAGATCCATACGTTTTAATGTGAAAAAGACAGCAATGAGTATTTTCTATAACTAGTTATTTTTTTAACGGGTCTAACGGCATTTTTTAACAACGTTTTTGAGTGAACGGTTTTCTTATATTTACACAATACCTCATAAAAGTAACTCCTTAATGTACATATACCTAATTAAAAATAACAAATTTTTAAAAATATGTCGTCAAAAAATGTATTATTCAGCAAAATTTAGATTGTCCATCAAATCTAAAAACCATCAACATAACTACAAAAATGAAAAAAAATATAATTTTGTAGGGTTTTGAATTCTGCATAAAATACGGGTACAATTATTATTTTTATAATAGCCAAAAATAGAATTCTAAAATTGACAAATTGCAAAAAAAAAACTTATTTTGCTTTACTTAATTTGTTAACACCTATTTGCTTGTATCACTTAATAATATGAACTTACAAATTATTGTTTGTTTCATAACTATAAACGGATTGACGACCCGTCCCGGATAGCGAATTCGTCAAGAAACCATCTGATGACGGCGTTGGGCCTTCATGACCCGTTAAGCTACATGATGATGATAATTATATACACATTAAAAAATCTATGAAAAATATATTTTTTCTTTTTCCGAGTGTTATTTTTCTGTTCATTTTTGTTTTATAGTCATTTTTTTTTTTACTATCGGTTTAAATTTAATTTAAAAAAGTTGAATTTGCATATTTTACGCTAAAAAAATGATAAAAATAAAATTGTACACTTATATTATGCATATCTTACACAAAGTCATGTATTATTTTAATTTTTGTAGAATTAGAATTTGTTGAGTTATGATGGAAAATCTAAATCATTTTTGTAAATATTATTTTTTTGACTTGGGCCGAAGGAAATAGTTTTTTTTACTTTAGGTTGTATACACCAATTGAAGACCTCGGGGCCGCTACAAGACATGTCCTTTTTTCAAAACGTTTTAAAATCCAAAAACAAATTCTTCAATAATGAAATGTATGCTTTACCTTTACCAAGTTTCAAAAGTTACTATCAAAAAAAAATACGTCGGAAGTGAAACAAAAAAATTCAAATCACATTCTATGAAAAATACAAAAATTAAATTTCTTATTTTACCATTTGAGATATTTAATGATTCACGATAAAATTATCCCTCTGTATATATGTATCATACACAAAACAGCCCCGCAAAACCAAAACCTTCTAACTTGTACACTGGAGGCAACTGGGATTAATATAAATTGCTTTTATGTTTATTATTATTTACAGATCAAATTCAAACTTGTAGATTTCGTTAGACAAGTGGACAAGTTCAAACGTGAAATCCATTCTGTTGAATTTTTTTTAACTTTTGCACACGTGTAAAATAAAAAGTTCCAAAGATGAAATCTATTATTTTGCTAGCATTGTTATCTAATTTTATTGTATCGTTTGTTGATGAAGGTGACTGTAACGAAGGTAACACTTTAAATTGTTAACTTAAATTTAAAATTGTTTTAATACTTTTATCTTTATATGTCTAAGAAGGTAAGTACAATATAAAGAAATTATTTATTTATTTATATATTTATATAAGGAGCCTCCATATCTGCGTATAACTACTCCTTGAAAAATTAATTCTACTTTAAAACGCGTAATCTGACCAGAGTTTTGGAAACCTAAACACTCCACCCTTCTAGCTGGCCTTATTTTTTGATTTTAAATAACCTGAGTGCTAACTACTTACTTATTAAATTTACAAATTTTTTTTTTAAAAGTTTACCCAATCTTTTGATTCTTTTTTCCATTAAATTCCACTTTACTGAATTCCAGAATTGTATTGACTTTTATTTGAAATGTTAGGACGTACAAAATATGTCCTATAAAAATGAATACTTTGCCGCTATTATTTAAATTTTGTATTAAGTGTATTATTAATCTTTGCCAAACCGTATCATAACCTTATTCTAAATCGAACGCTATGAGCATTTAGTATTTAGTTAGAAGTGTACTAGTGGATTAACTCACGGTCTAAGGTCGTTAATTCAGCTTATTTATTAGTAGCCCGGTATGTTTGGTTGTGTCTTCGTAAACTTAATATAGTATTAAATCTTAAGTTGTTTAAATTTGTGCTAACTAGTTTTATAGTAGTAAGGACACTGACTTTATAAAACGTACGAATTCCAATATAATTTTCATGTTTCAGCTGATAGTAGAACGGAAAATAAGTTTTAAATTAACATATTTATGTTTACAGTATCTGTCATCAGGAGTTAGCCAATGATATAACTATTTTATAAAAATTAGTTTTTTTCCAAACTCTTTATTCTAATTAGTAGACTTAAATATAGAATATAACTAATACCATACAAAAGAATCTCAGAACATGAACAAAAATATTCCACACATTTTATGTTCCTAAACCCATTCCAATCTAATCATTTTTATACCAACTTTTAGAATTTAAAAAGTAACGCATACATTTCATTAACTTTTTAAAATGAGAATAATGCACATTTGAGTATGTAAATGTTGACTGGTCGATAACCAGTTTTAGATAATTATTTTTGTAGTTATTGAAGTTTCATATTTATGGCAGGAGGAAAGGTAGAGTGCAGTATTTTTTTTATATCAGCACTCACTGACTCTCCCTTTCTAACTTTTAAACTCATATTACTTTAAAAATAGTTGTTTATAACTGGTTATCAACCATTCAAGTTTTTTAGTAAAATATTCTAAATAAAAAAAATTAATAAAATATATACGTTACCATTTAAACTTCAAAAGATGCTATAAAAAAAACAAAGTAGGGAGGGGTAAAAACAAAAACAAATTGTGAAAAGTTGAGATCACGTTTTATAAAAAACAATATGAACAAAAAAAATTCAATATCTTATTAAACACTATTACATATTGAATGGCCCATGATCAAAGATGCAGCCTGTATACGGTTGCTAAACCAAAACCTTCGATTAATAATATAATAAAAACAAACTCAAATGCCTATTGACTGTGAATTTGTAGAAAGCAACCTAGAAATTCATATATATTTAACATATAAATACTGGCTCGCAAAACCAAAAATTCTATTATCCGGGTTGGAGGCAACGGGGATTTTTACAAATTGCTTTTATATTTTTTATTATTTGCAGATAAAATAACATTTTATATATATATATATATATATATATATATATATATATATATATATATATATATATATATATATATATTTATTTATAGCTTTCGTCCCTGTACATGTTCCGCAAAATTATCAAGGTTATTATTTTATTTTTACAATTACCAACTTACAGGTTGGTCATACAAAATTAAATATAATCTAATCACTTTTTTACAGAGAATTATTGGAAGCAGGTTTTAGTCACAAGTAAGTAACATTTTTGTTTTATAACAATTTTTTTTTTTTTAATTTACTGTTTTCATAGATATTTATTAAATTATGTTTTACAGATAAATTCATTGAGAGTGCTTCTAGAGCAGGTAAAATATATATAAAATGAATATGCTAATAAATAAAAGTTTCGTTATGTGTACCTAGTTGTCCTAGTACCTAATTTTTATCAATAGTGAAAAGTGCACCAGGTATGTAGTATTAAGTTAAATGACTACTGCTTAAAGCAGGGTTTAACAATTACTATTATTCTAAGTATTTATATGGTATCTAATTTTATTTCAATATTTCAGTACATACCTAATTTTTTTTTAATTTATTCTAGGTAAATTGGAGCAAATAATTAATGAACTGGTTGATGATGACGTCCATTTTAAAGATTTTGGTAATCATAATTATAATAATAATAATAATAAACTAAAGAAAAAAATAGAAAAAACAAAATCACTATAAAACTTGTATGGGCAATTTATCTTTGTGTAGTTGAAAAGTGATAAAAACATTACAATTTTTTCCGAAATCTAAATGGAATTTTTAATTAAAAAACACTGCTGTTAGCTCTGTCAATCTGGTCTGTTTTTGTATTTTATACTCCTCTCCACAACTGCTTCAATTCAGCAATTATATTTTCATAAAGATTCCCTAGTCATTTAATATAGTTTTTTTCTACTTAAATTTCGTTTTCTAATCTTTAACTATGTAATTTTAATAGCTTTTAATAGCAAATAAATTATTGCAATATCATTAATATATGCCATGTCAATTTCAGCTATAATCAATTCAATGATCACTGTACCGGGTAATAATTTTTGTTCAATTTTAAGAAAATACTTTATTCCCATTGAATTTGCAGAGATTCTCGTTGTATTGAATATACGGTGGAGCACATTTCTTCACACCTTGAGCTTCCTTGTCTTTCTGTTTACAATATTATTATACAAATTTAAATACAATATCATTAATCTATGTTATGTTAATTTCAGAGGAAAAAACTATTCTTTTGTTTGTGGGTAATAATTTTCATTGCCTATTATGGACCTGTTACTTACAGTTCTTTTATATTCTTTATGCACACAAGAATTTTTTTTTTAGATTCAGAAGAAACAGTTATGCCATCCGATGACAATATGACCAGTAACCACATTTTTATAACTCATATTTAATATATTTAACGCATATTTATTGTTTATAAATACTTTACGATTAGCCATATGTACCAATTGAATAACACCAACAAAACATTTTGACTTTAGTAGTAAAATAAAAGTATAATTTGTTTAAATTTTAGATTTAAAACATTACCAGTATAATATGGGCCTTAAAATAAAAAATGCATTGGGTAAATATAAAATTTAAAAAAATAATAAATATACTAGTTTGTAGTTTTAAAGAAAAACTATAAAAAACTAATTAAAAGCTATATAACATATTATGTTTTATACTTATGTGTTTGATGATTATTCAAAATATAATATTAACTATTTCTACAAATGTTGCTATCATAGGCGGACTTAGGGGTTGATTTTTGGGGGGGCTTTAGTCCCAGACAATATTTAGACATTGATGTAGCCTACAAAATCTTTATTTTTCGTAAATTTTCCGCTTTAAGCATGTGTGGGCATGTATATGCAATATTTTGTTATATTTTTTTATTGATGCAACATGTATAATATTAAAATCGAAGTTGAATATCAACTGATAACAAAATTATTACTATATAGTATAAACTATAAATATACTGTTAATTTATATTTTACACTTGCTGACTACTTTTATTATAGTTTGAGTATGTTTATATACAAAAATATTGCCCCCCCCCCAGGCAAAGATTCAAAGCCTCTACTGTAGAAGTGTTTATAATTAGTTTTTTTAATTTTTTTCTAATTATAAATCGAATTAATTTTCTAATAGCTTAATCAAAAATTTGCCTTTTAACGCCTATACATCATTTTTTCTATTTATTTTAGCTAAAAAATGTCCAATAAAATATAAAATTTAGTTTAATGTTCTCGATGAGGTGATAGAAGGCTAGAATACTATTATTTCCATCCACATACTTCGTCTATAATTTAAAAAGCGTATTATACAAAAATGATTTATTCCATAACAAACCAGTTTTCAGTTTTCACTAGGTACATTATTGTTCTATACTTAATAAATGAATTAAATATTTAGGTTAAAATTTGACTTTCAAAAGTTATCTTCAACATTTATCCTTTAAAATAATACCTACTGTAAAATTGTTTTGTTTAAAACAACTACAGTAATTATAATTCAACTTACGAATATAACTTGCTCCACTTGCCAAAACAAACCGAAATATTTTTGATGTATTAAAAACACTATCTGCACTATTTGTCAGTAAAATAGGCAATGAATTGGTTATATTTTTTAGCATGGCATAAACCTATAGAAAAGAGATATACCCCAAAATGTTTTAACATGAAAAAAATAAAAAACATTTCATATAAATACGGTTTTTATACATTTTTAGGTAATAGAAAATTAAATAAGAATTTTACTGAAATAAAAAAAGCCAATTGGGTTTGGGGGGGCTAAATCACATATTGGGGGGGCTAATGCCCCTTTAGCCCACCCCTAAGTCCGCCTATGGTTGCTATTAGAAATAATTAAACATTTATTCAATAATATTTAGCAATAATTATTTGCTCTAGTTAATATTAATTTTAAGTGACTGTTTTATATAAAATATATAGAGGAAGACGGTGTAAATTTAAATTAAATTATATCATTATTTTCCCTAATTTAATATTATGGAAAATTTCTAGTTTGGGAGTTCCAATCTGTAGTTTAAATATTTGTACACATTATAATACTATTCCCAACTTTATCAATCAAGTAATTTATCATTTCTCATCTATAAATGTATAATTTTGTTCAAATGTACCCTTGTTATGGGGTACATTTGAATTTAACGGGGACGGATTTGAGTGTGTCTGATTAATATATTTGAATATGTACAATACAATTTAATTTGTAGAAAAAACGTTTTTCTGTATTTAAAGTAAATATAGAACATGAATGTTCTACAGAGTAGAATATTGAAATGGACTCCATGGTCGCCAATTCAAATCCACCTCACTTTATAATTGTTAATATTTAGTAATACATCAGATAAAATAATTACAATAAATCTACGTGTAAATACCAAATTGATAGAATACCAAATTTAGGATTCGAAGACATTATTTTGTACTTAAAATTAATGACAGTTTTATTTTTATTAATCACATAATCAGTCTGAAATCAGAATCCGCAGATAACACAAACGATACTTCAAACAGCGTGATTACTAAAAATATTTTTTTCTCGTTATTTTCTGCCCAGTGGAAATAGTTTTATCAGCATCATTTAAATGTACCCCGCATTCAAATCTACCCTAACTTCCACCAGACTGAGTTTTATAAGTGCATAATGATTTGATGTGTTTATTACAGGACTTGGCGAACTTGCAAATGATGAAACCGAAAGTAATTACGAATTTTCCGATAGTCGTAAATGGCGTTGCTTGTTTTAGAGATGAAATTTGCTTAATTTTCTTAAATAAATGTTTTATGTCAAACAACAATTTTAATAAAATAAACTTTTTATTATGGATACAGAAAGAGAAAAAAGAGTGAGACATTTGGATTGTAAACTAATATTTAACACTTCTCAAAAGAAAAACAAATTATAAGTGTACGCAGGGTCATCATTTTATCGTGAACCACTCAATATCTTATAGTGATAAAGATGGAATTGGGGTGGAAGATAAGAGGTGGGTGATAGGGGTGGGAGATAGGGGTAGGATATAGGGATGGGAGATAGGGGGTGGAATAGAATAAATTAGTTGAATCACGATTCTTTAAATTATGCACCACAAGCAACTAAAATATATTATTTTTATTTTTTTAACGTCTACTTTATGCTGGCATGTAACAATTATTTTTGTGGATTTTGTAGGCTTAAATTTGGAAACCCTTGGAAAAAATAGAAGGAATTTTACTAGACCAGCTATAACAAATATAATCCAACCTATATTAGGTAAATATTAATATGAAGTTGTATGAGTTTTAAAACAGTAATACATTTATTATTATTAATATACATTAACGCATAGTGTCTAGAAATACCATAAAAAAAAAACATATTATTTGTATGTTAATTTAAAAAAATTTTAAATGTATTTTAGAAAAACCCGTGTATGCACATAGGATTACTGCGGCCGCTTTTCGACGATTGTGTCGTTTGACAGCGATATACTTGAGTGCAACATTTCCAGATTGGTACATAACCAAACTTATAATTGACTACGAAAAACGTGATTGTATCTTATTCCATGGACGTCAACAAAGTATATACAGAAGTCTAGATGGCATCTGGGGGTTTTTAATGTCAGAAATCGCAGTGCGTGGACTATTTTCACACTAAACATTTTCAAAAATATTAAACTATAACTATTTAAGAAAACTTTATAAAACATTTCCCAACGGCTCTTGCTAACAAGGCTCAGTAAAACAAACTAATATGTATACATTTTTTTGTTTTATTAAATGTAATAATAAATAATAATATAAATTATAAAAATACAATCACACTTGAATATATTATATAAATGCATATTAAAGTTATACGCAACCATTATTATTATTGTGTCTTTTATTTATAACAATGTATATTTTTCTAAATATACATTGTTCAGTTACACTTTTAATCTAACTTTGCACAATTTTCATAATCTTAATTGTTCTCATAAACACTATTTTAAAAATAAACTAGTCTAGTTTAAACCAAGTACGGTATAATCCAGCGCAAAAGTAAGTACTGTAAAACAAGCTGAGAAAAAAGTTAAAAAATAGGATCTAGAAAGAACCTAAACAACTTATGCTTATAATAATGATTCTTTGAAAACCCTTGATCATAAAATAATACATTCTCCGCGTACACGTATTTCGGCATCAATGCTGTCATCTTCAACGCTAACGACAGACTGTTAGTGTACTATTCAGGAGTCAAGAGAATATTATTAAATCTGAAAGTGATTTCTTTATAATCAAAGGCTTCGTTGTGAATATCCAAATAGTAAGAATCGAATGTAGTATAAAGCACTCTAAAACAGCAAAGCGGTTTTGTTATTTTATAATAAATAGTAAATATAAAACATTAAAAATTCTGCGCTCATAATGGTAGTATAAAAATTAGAAATTATGAAAGTGGGCTATCTTAATGTGCAGTTGTTTTAACTTAACATTTAGCAGTTGTTTTAACTGTGGATTTAGTTATTTCAACTAAGATTTTTTATGGCAAAATATATAGCTTAATAAAACCCGAAACACTATTTTGCTCATTTCCTTAGCTTGACGGAATATTAAGAAACTTATCCTGCATGTCCGTTACAATGATGTCCGGTTTACTAGAAAATAAATAATAGTATGGTAAAATATTTAAACAATTGTGATATTGATTTGAATATAAATACGATTAATTAAAATAATGAAACTTAAAATAACAGCAGAACAAGTATTAAAAACCTCAAAAATGTATACGATTGCTAATTTATAAATTGTATACATTAAAAAATTAGTTTAGTAGTAAAAAAAAATGTAGATTCAATTGCAAAAAAGCACACCATTCCAAAACCAATAGCTCTTTGGTTCTTTAAAATACATTTCATTGAAATGCATCCTTATAACTTTTAAACCAGAAATAGTTAACCCTTTTGGAAATTTAGAAGACTCATCATCAGATTAAATAATGGCTGTACGAAACTTGTTGTATTAATTACGCGAGGTGAAAATGCAGCATAAAATGTGATAACATTATTTGTGTTAAAAAAAAATAACTCGTACACCATGTATAATTTTTTTTTTTAATGAATTAATGTATTAATTTTTCAGTAAGGTCATATTACAAATAACAAAAAAACAACATTAGCTACTAAAAAAAAAAATAATGAGACAATAGTAGTAGTTTTACTGGAACACAAACAATAGTGTATAAATATTTATTAAACTTTATTATTTGTGATATTGTTGAACTTTATATTAGATTAATTAAAATTAAAAAAACTTAATATTTTATAATACAATTGAACAAACAGAACAAATATTGAATATCCTAAAAATAAATACGGTTTTTAATTTATAAATTGTATACTTAAAAAAATCAGTCTAGAGGTTAAAAAAAAAAGTAGGTTCAATTGCAAAATAGCACACCGATTGCTTCTTATACAAACTACAATAATAGTAATACCAGTTCAGCTGGTACAAACGGATACATCAAGACGCATTGAATTGAACTATTTTATTTTATTTCTTAAACTTTTTGAGATTGACAATACCGTAAAATATTTTTTATTTATTAAACTACTTGTATATTTAGTCGAAATTCTTTAAGACTAGTTAACTATTATGGATTCGGATGGATTACCATTATATTTTGACTCAATAACATTTTTTAAGTTTTCTTTTTATTTAAATATTTTATGTTAAGCAAAAACATTTTTATCAAGTGACTCCTCACTTAAGAGTTACGTGGGTGATGGGGAGGAGAGAACACAGAAGAAAAGATAAAAAGTTTAGATCCCCACCCAAAAAAGTCAGCCAGTCAAAGTAGTGGTATCTACATTGCGGCGAAGTCTGTGCTATGCCTTATTCAGAGAGGTCATGTTTCATTTAGAAACTGTCCAAGTGTGAAGCAATACAAATAAAAGACCAGTGTTGCTCGTGAAAGTAGGAGTAAAGTGAGGTTATGAACTAAAGAAATATCAGACTTGGCTACAATGTATATATCACTACTTTGATAGGGTGACTTTTTTTTGGAGGGGGTCAGGAACTTGGCCTTTTTCGCTTTTAGGTTTTTGTCGGGGATTAGCATTACATCATGTATGTTGAAGGAATTAAATATTTTTTAACTACCGAAATATTTTTAACACTAGACATGTTCAATAGTATTTGTTAAATTTGTTTGAAACATTTGTAATAAGGTTTTCAAAATGAACTAAAAATAAAATAGTTACAACATTAAGTGTGGTAAAAGCTGTTAAATATTTTAGTTGCTAGTGGTGACCGAGGAGATGGAATATTTTATTAGTGGATAAAAATGGTAACCAAACTCGATGGCAAACAAATGTATTATTACAGTTATTACTCGGTCTTAATAACAGCAGTACAATATGTCGAAAATGCATAATATACTATAAATGACCAAAAACTCAACAATTCGTGAATGCAATTTTTTCCCACGAGACGGATGTGTGAGCACACAATTCAACATAAATGATTTAATTAAAATATTTAATTTTTAAACTAAAAAAAATAAATCAATGAACAACCTTGTACATTGTTTGCCTGTTGTGTAAAACTGGACGTCATTGAATACATAATAGTGTTACACATTTCTTCGCCTGGTGGTAATATACAATGCAATGTGCATTATTATTGGCATTGTGAGCTAACCAAATAGTTATTGTTGTCACACTCGAGGATCTCGTGTTGTAAATTACCACTTTGATAGAAATGGAAACTAAAACGTTAATACTACCAAAGCTGGAAACGATCAATGAAATATACATCGAATTGGGTACTTCCGAGACGAAATTGGAACAGGACGTGAAAATTCTCAAAGAGTGGATGCGAAAACAACCTCACCTGCCTGACCCAGACGGTAAAATTTTAAATATTAAATGATACATTTTTTTTTTGCATTTAAAAATATTTTATTCTCCGAATGATATCACATTGCCGGTGTGACGCGTAAAATCATTAAGTACTCAAACGATTTAGTATTGTTGATTAGACGATGAAAAAAAAGTGGACGAAAAGCGAATCAAAAATATCCTGTTGACGTGTAAGAATAGTTTGGAGAAAACCAAAGCAGTATTGGACGGACACTACACTATAAAACGTTTAGTACCAGAATACTTCTCCAATTGGGATCCCACTGCGCCAGAGCTAATTCAATCAATACAACAATCGTTAGTGTCATAATATATACAACATAGATTTGTTATAGTATACTTTTAATTGCACCAATTCAAATAGTCGTATTGGTCGTTTTAATAGACAAAACGGCGATTTTGCACGAACGTGCTGTGATAAATAATTTTATTTTTCAACACCGATTTGGGAGGGGAGTAAAAATCAAAAGAATTGTAAAAAATTATCTTAATTTCAAAAGTTTATGAAATGTAATGCATTGCCTCCTAAAATTTAAACGTTGCTGTCAAATAAACAATTTATTGGGAGGGGAGTAAAAACAAGAACATTGTAAGCATTTTTAAATCACATACATAACCACATTGCCAAAAAACAATATGAAAAAATAAATAAATTCCTTATGAAGTCCTATCGACCAGTTAAATGGCCCATGATAAATAAATCAACCTGTATAGTGACAATAATCAGTATTTAACGAGTAAACAGTATATTAAAATATTTTACATTGCTTATTTTATGTAAACCACGTAAGGCGTTATAAAAAAAAAAAGCAGAAACATAATAAAAGTCAATTATTTATCATAGCACGTTATAAGTACAATTATTAAATGTTCTTAAATTTTATGAGTAATTTACCAATATTATAATAACAATTTGTTATTAATGGATACATTGTTTTACAGTTGTTACTTTCCATTTCCAAAACCTACACATGAGGGCAACAGAGTAAGCCTATATTGTGTAAGGGATGGATACACCGATGGTAAATATGTACATGGTGATGTTAATAAATTATGTTTTATGACACTCGATCTCAGAATCGGTAAGTTAGACACCTTTAAAAAAGAAATAATCATAATGGATTATAAAAATACAACAATGAATCAAATAGCTGCAGCTTTACCGAATATTAAGAAAGTCGTTGAAAGTGCGCAAGTAAGTAAATTTTTGCTTCGATGCTCTGGCCATTTCGATCGGGTCTTAGAGAATGTTTATTACTTTTAGAATAAGAACATCTAGCATTAAACCTTTAAACCCATTTAGTTCGTTCAAATATAATGTACTATGAACTTGATCATAGAGGACTTTGCTCTAAATCTACCAGGGACGAAATAAAACTGGTTTTCACTTCCGCGTATCTGGGTTAGACAAATGCTATAATGGCCACTGTGGTAATCTAATAAAGTACTTAAATATCAATAAAGTAATAATAGTCATAAGTGAGAATTGTCAATTGCTAAATTAACACATTTTAGTATTAGCTCAAACCTTATATTTTGTAAATTTTGCTTGTACCGAACATTTTGTTAAACAACAATGTAACGTTTTGTTAAATTCAAATAATGTTAACTAATATCATAGCTATTGTAATTTGTAATTGATATAATATTTACACTTTTAATTATTTTCGCATGGGTTTAGTCTAACTATAACAACTGGCAATATTATTCCCTAATTGACTTGTCAAAATTTCACTTACACGTTTGTCGCCAT